GTTTTAAATGCTCAATGGCATGTTCATGGATACGGTAATATCGGGCAAATAATACGTTAATGCAGTGGTTCCCAAACATTTTTCGGCTGGCGCCCCCTTTGGCTCCCCAGTGAATCCCTAGCGCCCCCCCCCCCCGACAGACACGTACGTATACATACAAACAAACGCCTCTTTCTTGATATTTAGTACTCTGAAATTTTAATAGAGAAAGGTTAGGTGCAAATGTGTATTTCACAAATAGAATGCCATTTTGTAAATCAGTATATTTTTTTACAGTTTTAACTCTTTCAGCACTAGAAATTCAAGATGGCTTGGATAAATTCAAGAGGGCTGGTCTCACAGCCAATCTCCAAATTCAGTAACCAAGGAATATCTCTCAAACTAATAAAAGCAGCTTGATGAAACTTGGAACACGTATTCATTGGGACGTGATGGTGATGTTTAGCTTGTGACAAAATTTTTACATTTCCCCCTTCATTTGAGAGTTAGATGGCAATATGGGCCAAAATTCACAGTGATCAAAGAATTTAGTCCAAACTACTGAAAAGATTTAAATGGAATTCTGAATGTAAATTCCTAACTACCAAACAGTGATTTTTAGCTTGTGAAAATGTATTTAATTTTGAGTCCTGTTCTGCCTGTGTTGTGTCCAAATCGTCAAACTTATGAATTTCTGACTTCAACTTCGCGGACTGCCGCCCCCCTACTGCTCCTTTCTTCCTTACTGCCTCTCAAATTTTTCCACCACCCCCAAGGGGCGATATTGCGCTCTTGTGTGGTAAAATAAACTACTGCGGTAATGTATGGATATGGTAATATCATACCAATAAAGGAAAAATGAGTAAAAATCACAAGAATGTCATTTATTCTACATCTACATCATTTACAAAGGAAGAGGGACTTCAGAGTACTGTTAGTAATTGACAAGTACACTTTGCATGCTTAAAACTTTTTAAAATAAAGTTTTATTTCAAGTGGCCCAGATTAACCCATTACCATGGGTAATTTGGGATGCTTTTATTTTGCATCTGGCACCTAACAAATAGCATATGGAATTTTTTCAGAGATCCCATACAATAGCCCTTGCAAAGAGCTTTAAAATGAGCCCAAACTTGTATAAAACGCTTCATGGTAAGAAGTTATTAACAAAAAATGCTCAAAACCGTCCCTTATTACTCCGTTTGAGGCTATAACAAAAAAAGAGCATAAAAAATATACCTGAAACAGAAATGAATATTCTAATGACAATCATCATATTTTTAGGAGAAGTAAATCATAGTTTAGGTTAATTACTTTTCATTCTAAGTTGCCCAGTGCACAATTCTATGAAATTCTATGCACAATTTTGTGATGCCCGATAATGCATTAATTTTCTTTAACCCTTTCCTCGGCGGATATAGAAATATGACAAAATTGCAATATATGGTGATTGTACTTAGAAGGATGACCAATTCTAAGATGTATTTACTCATAAGCATTTTTTGAAAATTTTTTTTATATAAGTAGTAAATCATAATTAATGAAGTGATCATATATGGTGCCTTGCTGGCTCAAGATGAAAAAAATTGTGGATTTTGACATTGAAAGTTTACTATTTAGATGGTAAAAAACATCATGATTGCTCTTTTATGCATGTATTATAACACATAAAAAGGAAGCAATCAAGATGAAAAAAATTATAGGTACATTTAGTATTTTATGGCAAGATATTTCCAGACCATCCATATAATGAGAAATCCATGCCTAATGTAAAGAGTCACATTCATATACAACATATACCTAAAACTTGTGATAAAATTGTCTGTAAGAATTAGTATTGGTGAAGGACATGTTATCGTCTGGGTCAGTACAGAGACCATCTTGCTTGCAACCGTGTTGGCTCTATGTTCTGTAGCAAAGGGAATGCCAAGAGCTTGGACTGCAGTCAAAGTCAGGGATAGCATCAAGTGCTGAACTATAGGTACATTAGACTGAAAAACATGGCTTAAATCATAATACCGCTAACCACTAAATGCTAACAAACATATTTACCAAGCGCTGTAGAAATTTACCTTTAGCAGGCATATGACCAAACATAGTCACTTCCATCTCTAAGCATTGGCGGGCATATGCTCATATATGATCACACTAATTTTCGCCATCATATTTCACCATCTTGGATTTGCTTCAAGTAAAGGGCATCATAATCAGTTTATAAAGCAAGTTTTTACCTAAGATACTAGCAACTATCATGGCCTTACCTACAGTTCTTTATGGGCTAGAGCTGCTAAAGTGAATACGACGAGGGCCCAAAATGCCGTTTTGCCATTTTTCAGAGAACTTAGTTTATAATTCAGCTCACACAGGCGTCAGAGCGCTACGTCATACATGACGTAACTCGTACACGATCTGTGATTGGTTGGAGCTTGTTGGCAGGCTGCCCCAAGCAATGTGGGTGATGTGGGGGGCCTTTTTTTACTCCCATTTTAATTACCATATATGGTAACTTACCCGCGAAAGGGTTAAATGACTTTTTTTGCAGAGATAGGCAAATATAATAAAAATTCTTTGACTTTAACAGATTTTTTTGTTGACCAGAGCCTTTGCTAACCAAGCTTCTACTGTAAATGCGTTTTTAGGGGTATTTTTTAAAACCCCGCTTTGCGGAAATTGACGTCATTCTGTTTTGGACCAAGGTATTCCAATTTTGTTGATAAAGTTTTGAGCTAACACCTGTCTGCAAATATTTTTAAGTCAACTTTTTTAATATGGCAAATATTTTTTAATGCAGATCTTAGCAGAAGTACTTTTCCAAATATAATTTTTTGACATTTTTTCAGGGATTTTTTAGAGCTAGTAAATGTATGACTTTTAAACTTCCTTCATGCTACATAGCTAGGAAAAATATTGAAGTTTAATCCCCTTTTTTTAGTTTTGCAACATTTCAATTAGTTTTGCTGCTATAACATTTTAAGCCATGATGGAGGACTGTCACGATTTACCCCACCCATTCCCAGAGTTGGGCAGCGCTACTTTGAAATGTAGCGGCTGCTACCGCTACCACTACATGCTCTAATTGCAGCGGGCACTACCACTATAATTGCTTAAATGTAGTGCCGCTACCGCTACTGAAAATGTAGCAGCCGCTACATCTAGCGCGCCACTGCCCACCTCTGGTAACAACTAACATGTTGACACTAGTAACAGGTTGAGGTTGACAACATTACACCAAATGTTTCATACAGTTTTATTCTGTAATTTATATTATGTATGTATCATACTGATTTTTAAATAATATTTAATACTATTAAGTAAAATCTAAAGGCTTTATCTATAAATGTAGCGGTAGCGCTGTAGTGGCAAAACCGCGTATCACTACTTGAATATGTAGTGGGCGCTACCACTACCGCTACAATTGCTTAAATGTAGCATGCTACTGCCCACCTCTGATCATTACTTATTACCCTTTTTGACGGTAATAGCATAGTACAGCACTGTCAGGATTGGTTGAGCCATTAGGCCTGTGACCAATTCTTAACAGCATTGAACATTTTCTGCTTGTTGCGGGCCTCAAACACGGAACTCTACTTTGATTTTTGCTGTGCTTAAATGCAAGACCACCTTGCCAGTTTGGTCAGAACTGTCTCTGTGTGTGTGTGTGTGTGTGTGTGTGTGTGTAATTGCCCATCCTGGTAGTGGCATCTAGGTATGGGAGGTGGTGATAGGTCAGTTTTTCTGGGAACTAATGCCACTGGTAGCTCCACGACCATCACTGGCTTTCTGACCTGCCAGAACCATTTTATTGCATTACACAACACCCTGGACAAGCCAGGTACTTGTGTTATCAACCAATCAACCAGAGTTGGATGAATGGCCGAGTTAACTGTGAGCTGAGCTTCCTGGAAGAACTTGTCCTCAGTGGGACTCAAACCTGGGAGCTGGTGCAAGAAACAGAGTCTCTCACCAATACACCACCACAGCTCAATCAGAACTGTTGCACAAGCTGGGATCAAACCCACAACTTGCTGCTCCAATCTTGGTACTCAGTAACCACTTTGCCACCCTGCCTGTTGAGATCCAATTAGAATCATTCTCCATGAAAGCACAACTGTGAAATTATAGAATTAATCAATTTTACATATAAATAAATGCTAAATAAATAAGAAATGTGAAATTTGATTGTTAACAAATCACAATGACTGATTTGACTTACTAGATAAAAAATGAAATAGAATCAAGATAAGTTGGCTTTGGAGAGTGAAAGTAATAAAGTAAAAGACTTTGGAGTAAAATCAATTAGAAAAAATTTAGTTTAGTGGGCATGTCTGGGTGGACTCCAGACATGCCCACTAAATTATATTGACTCCCCATGTATTGAATTTATTTGCTTTTCGTCTGCTGACTCTGAAGCTGTAATTCAATCTAGTGATGAAACCAGCGACAAAATTCAATAACAAAGAAGGCTCATTTTGTATTTTTTTATTTCAAGCAGTAGTTGCTTCCCTCAAGATTGTCAATTACTGGTACCGGTACTATGCATGAAAAGAAAGGCCTGACTTGTTTTGCTGAAAAAAAATCTTAAACCTGAATTATTTGATGAGAAATGGCTATTTAACCCATTCACAAGCATGGTTCTTAAGTCAAATTCTAGGATTTTCTAATAACCTAGTGTCATTGTTGTATTCTTTTAATTTATACAAATATTCTGGTCATACTTATCACCATGAGCTACAACAAAACTTTTTAATTAAATGAAGAAAATTCTTATTGAACATACTTGACATATAAAAGTTATTATTTCCAATACAAACATAGTAGCAGTATTTCTATATGCCTTTGAAATCTTGTATTTTAGTAATGCTTTTTTATACTTTCTGTGCATAATGTGTTAATCCAGTTCTTTGTTTTTCGGGTATTGTCCATTCCATTATTGTATATAAATGATTTTGTTATTAACTGTGGTCTAGATGAGTTCGAATGAAATTTGCAATTCACTGGCTGAAACTTGTCTTTTGTTTCAGATAGAGAGGTGGTTACTGTCCTGCTGTGGCTCTTCCCAGGATGTCTGATGCACCTCCTACTGACATTACGGCAACAGAAAAAGGAGAGAATGTGTTGAATGTTACTAAAGTAGTCTCTGAAACTGCAGTAGATGATGCTGTTGTTAAGCCCGTTTGTACATCTCAAGCCAATCAAATCCCTAGCAATGCACGCACTCTGAGTGGACTGCTTAGTGAAGAGAGATTTACTGTGACCCCTTGTGAAACAGAAAAGGAAGTACATAATAAAAGTGAACAGTCTGAACTTGGAAGAAAGAAGAAACGGTGCCCGTGCCCATGGAAAGCTCAGCCTCCTCCGCGGCCGTTCAAGAAAGCTCGCTATGCGTGGCAGATTAAAAATTATGAGCACACTGTGTCTCGAATGAAGAAAGCAATTGCTCAGCAGCCTCAAACTTTACCGTCAGGGAATCCTGGTTCTGCAAGAGGAGCTGCTAACATCGATTCAATACCAGCTACAAATGAGACAAAACGGAGTGCAGAATCAGCCTACTATCCTGGTCTCTATGGCAACCTGCCAGCTGCATACTCTACTGGGTTTTACAACCCTCTGTTACGATGGTCAAAAACGCCTGAAGCGTCTTGTGTTGAAATTCCCGTTAATCGCATGTTACAAAATATGTTTTTCTCTGGCAATGAACCATCTTCTGGTTTGCATCCTTTGCTCATGATGAGCCTTGCAGAGGGCAATGCTGCTGCTTTCAACGAAAGCTTGAGATGTGAAGATCTTCCTCGAGACTGTGCCCCTCTTCTGGCTGCAGATGTTGAGGGCGCTACTAGCCCAGGCCTACAGAGCCCTCCTACCTCTGACTACGACTCATCCTCTGATGAAGCCAGTCTTGGAGACGACCTCGTACCAGATGCCCAGATGATGAGTCATTTTCCTCCCTCATATCCCTCTCTGCAGCAGCAGCAGCAGCAACAACATTTGATAAGCTCTCCTCAGCAACGCCATTACTTGTCTAGTGCAGAGAATGCGCATCACCAAATGTTGCAGCACCATCAGCACAATCCCGTGTCATGTGCTCAACTTCCTCACGTGAATGCCATGCCCGCGCGTTGCGACTCCCCTTTGGATGTTCCTCTGAGCCAAAGAAGGCCATACATTGCTGACGATCCACCATCGCCTCAGATAAATTACAGCCATCACTGCCCTGATCAAACCAACAATGATACAAATTTAGCTTTCCACAACGCTATGATGAACTGCCCTATTAGCATGACCAACCGACACCTCTTCAGCCTGCAACTCCACAACTTTTGTGAGAGAATGCAAGCCAACAATAACCTTTTCCAGTTCAATCAGTCATATCAGCAGTACAGGAACAGTTGTGCTCGCATTACAGAGTTCATGGATGAGCAATCTAGCTTAAATTTGCGGAATTGTGAACAGAACAACGATGCAACACTGGGCGACCGAGATCTATCCTCAGTCGCCGATGATTATACCGGTCAGGTACAGCAAAATCCCATTATGGATTCTTTAGGAGATGAAAATTGCAGTATTTTAAAAAATTTGGGTCCTTCATTACCTACAAATACGGATTTGCCGAAAAATAACGGTGATGGTCATCAAGGTTTGCCTAAATTATCGAAGCTTGATGATGAAACGATTAGTAACAAAGCAGGAATTGAGGATGTAACAGTACAGGTAAATTCTCACGATCCGTCGCTGAAAAATCCTCTCTTGATCCCTCCTGTCGATAGAAAAAGTGATAATTCTCATAATACAGGAGGAATAACAGAGTTTATCGGCGCTGTCTTAGCCTCAGGTTTGAGAGACGAGTTACAGCAGCATACTGAAACAGAAAACACTGCACTGAATCCTCTACAGTTTGTGCCAGTAATAGATGCTTCACTGTCTACTACCGATGAATGTAAACAAAACGCCTTGTCTACGTCCAAAGAGCCATTGGCAAAAAATGTAAATGATAGCAAAATGCTAAATCATGGATGCAGTGGCAGAAGTGATGAAGATACTCTAAGGACTTCTGTTCAGCAGGTTGGGAAAAATTTAACTGTGGATTCGGTAGAGAATGGAGACCTTCCTAGAAACGGAATGGATGAAAATGTTTTCTCAGATCCTGAAGATGTAAGAGGCGCTGTAAAAGAAGATTGCAATATTACTTTGAATCTAAGCAAGGCTGAACATGCCAAGCATGCAGATACTCGAGACTCTTCATCAGGAAGTGTCAGAGGACTTGACCGCACTGAAGAGCTTAAATGTGATGGTAGCTCGGCTGTATTGAAGTGTAAGCTTGACACTGATGACACGGGTGACTCGTGTTCAATTGCTAGCTTTAGTCCTAAATGCTTAAGCTGTGTCAGTGGCTGTGATGACTGCTCTAGAAACTTCAGTGACAGGGCTTTAGAATCGCCAAACAATAGATTAACTTTGTTGACATGCAGCTGCGTCATAGCTAAACAATGTTCTGACGAAGCTTCCATTACTCCAGAGGATGCAAGAAGTCCTCTTACCTCGAACCCAAGCCACGGTGACTGTGATAATCTTGGCGACGCAGAACTTTCAAGTCAAGCAGCTAAAAAGATAGCGCTCAGAAAAGATGACTCTTTCCCTGGTGATGTTTCTGAACCTGGTTCATGTTGTTCCACCCGTGAGAGGCCAGACTCAGTCGAAACGCCGCATGATGATGGCGATGTTTGCGTGAAGACAGATGTGAAGTCGTGTTCGTCAATCCCTGATACTCATGATGATGCTGAGGTTTCCGAAGAGAAAGCAACATCTGCCCTCGTGCATCATATCTGCGACAACAACAATGATAAGTTTTTCCTTGACCAAGCCTTTCATGTGGCCATCAAACAAGGACTAGGATATCAAAAGGCATAATTAATTGCTAATTTAATCTCAAAAGGAATTGCTTATTAAATTAAGGTATGTGTACTTTGTTTCAAAGGTTATGATTTCTCTTGTTGTAAGAAGTGTGAAGTTTTAACCTATACTAGCCTGAAAATATCCTCCAAAATCCCGGGCTAAGAATATAATGAAAGTATTAAGAGTTGGTGTGATTTGAATTCGTTTTAGGTGAACTTCTGTGAAGAGAGGTAGTGAGTGCTTTGGCTTGAATGTATCCTGTTAGTGTTGCTCTTTGTATGCATAGCAATCTTTGATGTCATTGAATGATGCACTATGACCAACGCCCAAAAGAGAATTAAATCGAATGCTTTGCTTCTACTTAAATGTGGTACGAGGTAGTCATATCTGAAATTCCTGATAGTTACTACAACAAAGTATAGCTTTGGCTTAGGAAGATATTTTATCTACTTATTTATTCCATCGCAAATGAGTCCTCATCTGTGTTGTGCTGTGAGTGCTTACATCATGTTTTCTTCCTCTCGTGAGGGCCGGTTGGTAATCTCTACTGCTCTAGTGGTGTTTAGATTATCCATTTCCCCTCCTTTACTTTTCATGCTCCATTTTCCAAATTGGGAACTTAGAGACTACAACTTGTATTTGAGTGCGGCGGTTTCCAGATCTGTCTGTGATGCGACTTGGTCTCACGAACTCTGGGAGCTGCGTTTGTCCCAGACCTTAAATACTTGCTGATCACTGTTATGTTTTTTTGAAGGTCATAATGTTTTTGTGATTTTTTCTTCCGATCGGAGTTTTCTATTATGGTACCGTGTGAAGTTTGACCGTTCTGATTCAATTATTATTAGCTGTTTGCTCATGCTTGCGACGGCTCCAACTTCTTCATCATGAATTACTAGGAAAAATAAACATGCTATCAAAGCTCAATCTAAATTTTCTTTTGTTATAGTTTTGTACAATTTTGAAATCTTAGGCCATTTCAAAGTGCTGGACAAAGTGTAAAGTAAAGAAATTTAATAAAGTCAGCAACGGTACGAATAATAAATAATTTCAAATAGAAACATTGATTTGGATCAAAATACTCGCATAATGTTACAGACATTGTCGCGCCTGAAGTATCTCTGACGTTTATTAATTGTAGATTGTTTACCTCGATCAGAATACGTATAAAAGGGAGTGGAAAAGGAACTCGGTGATGGCGGATTGATTTCGTGGCGAGATTAATTCTTCGCTCTCTTAATATAGTTTGCTTACTTACTTTCTCTAGTCCTTTATGCATGTTCTGCTTGTGCCATTTTCATCTCTGTTGCCGTCTTCACTTTAAGCTTGATTACCTTAGGCCAATTTATTGAATATGATTGCTCTTCACCTTTTAGTGATATGTTTAATATTTAGATTAGTTGCATGGTTGTAATGCACAACTGTCACTGTATTTTATTTATTTGTTCATACTAATGTGGCCGAAGAATAATTCCTGTGGAGTTTTGATTGTTTGGGCGTTGACAACAGACAATATTTTCACATGTATCCAAGGCATAATTATTTGCAAATGATATTCTTGGTGTGGCCTTGGTATTCAAATGGAAACTTACATAACGTGAACTCCATGTTGATGTAGCGTCGACATAAGACTAGGCGTCGAATCTGTTCTGGCGCTGCTCAGAATAATGAGCGAAGGACGTGGCGGTTGAGGTCGTGATAAACTTTTCTGTGATTTTCCGCGTCTTGGTTCACCTCGATGTCTCAAGTTTCTGTGCCAACTACACTGCTCCTAATTTCATAACTTACGCTAGTTTTTCCCTTTGGAACTTTCATAGGTTGTAGTTCTCTCCCGTATAATATATGAAGATATATAGTACTTAAGCAGCAAGTCGATGTCAAAATTTTGCTTCAAATCGAATTAGGTTGATTGAATGTGATAGTTATCGGTGACCGATGTATTCTATTACAAAAATTCTTGAATAAATTATTTATATCACATAATTATTTTATGAACTTGATTTGTGCAGCATACGTCTTCTGTGAAGTATTTTTAAGTATGCTATTTTTATAGATATTTCAATGATACGAATACAGCGTAGTAATTAATATTATTTTTATTTATAAATTTAGTGAGATATCAATTTCTTGTTAGTTCTATTGCTGTCTTCAGGGTTGTGTTGAGGCGGCTGTATTGAAGTGTAAGCTTGCTGTTGCAGTACAGTATAGGCTCCAAATCCGGCATATGCCGCGCTTGTCTTCCTAAATTAAGCATTGATTTCTCGGAATTTTAGAGAGTTCTTTTCACATCACCCGTCAATGTCTAGAACGTTTGTCATGATATTGTGTTGTTCCCGCTTTGCTTTAAGGTTTACTTACAACTGATTTCGATTGTTGTCCCTTCATCATGCAAGTGAGGATTGTGTTGTTCTGTTAACGCTACGGTTAAAGTTGCAATGGAACTAAACAGTAATGAGGTCTACTTGCAGAAATGCGGCCATCGAACTTCCTTAGGCGTTTGAAGCTTTAAAGGTAGATTCCTTAGACTTTTAAAGCTTTGAAGGTAGATTTTTGCCGAATTGACCAAGAATTCAAAATAATCTGATTTCTATGTAGAGAATCTTTCGGTTAAGTAAATACCAATTGTTTACTTAACTTAAATTTCCTTTCAATTTCATTTAACTTAAATTTCGTTCATTTTTCATTTTAACCCGTACTTGCTTTGTTTTGACATGTTCCTACCTGCATTTGGTCAACAGGGGCTGTATGGAAATGGTAATGAATCCGATTAAATACGGTTGATGCAACGTCTTCGAGAACTGCTCTGGGTAATTTTCTTGTACATGGCAACCTAGCAATGCTCAATGTCTCTGTGTGCTGAAATATTTTTATTCCGCAAATTTTCTTTCTCATTACTGACTTTATTTTTTTCTGACTGTTGATCAACTGAACAATTATCAAAATATAGTTCATCAACATCATTACGATGTACGTGCTCTGCATCCATCAGTCATCAAATTGCCTCCGGATCTTTCGACATTTACTTCATAGGTTATTCAATTTAATGCTGATGCATGACACCAAGTGCATTATATCTCCGCATTATTTGAGCTCTCATTCGAAGAGTGTGTCCAGCGAGCACGGCGGTGGCAACACGGTACTCTCGATGCTGTGTTGTCAAGGCAACTGCACGGTTCATTTCTCTTTGCCCGCGTGTTGGAGACAACGTATTCCTGCAGCTTATAATGTTTCTCTTCCTTGCGCCAAAATTTTGTTAGGGCTCAACTTGTAAGAAGTGCTCATGCTTGATATATGTATTAGCGAATCTTCAGTCATCCGTTGAATCGCTCACTCTTAATTCATTTGAGTTATGTGCACAATTACCTCTGATAAACCTGTCGTTGAAGCTTCATATTGTCGCGACAGACCCTTTAATGTTACGCGCACGACCTTAACTCAATAATGAAGCTTTCACTTCGTCACGACAACCTCTTGACAGGAAGACGTCTAGACGACCAACTCCTTGGCCCCACCCGCCCCGTGACCAACCCTTTAATACAACTTTCTCGCTACCAACTCTTTGAAATAAAACCTGCTAGCTACCAACCCCTTGGCACGACAACCTCCTCGTTACCAACTCAATGACGTGACGGTTACACAGTTTAATTCACGACAAACGAAACGCTCGCGTGTCAACACGCAAGACGGTACCTCGGCAGAACGGACAACCGCACGTATTACAAAAGAAATGCTCCAACTCCTGCAGGCTGTGCTCTTTCATTATTCTAAGGAATCTTCACGAAAGTGAAGACGTAATCTTGCTTAATCTGCTTCTTCGACTCCTACCTAGTCCTTTGTTCTACTCTTTAAAGCTATCTTAGTATTAAAGATTCACATGTCTTAGAAAATCATGGTAGAAAATGTCTTGTTGTGAAGTTCCAATTTAGACAGAGCATATAAAACGAATTGTAGTATTTCTAACCCTTTCACATCATTGGAAGGCAGACATATTGATTTTTTTATCTTTAGGTAGGATAGATATGCGTAGTCACGCCGCTAACGCGTATAGTCAAATTATCCAGCTTCTTGATGATTCACCCACTGTATATTTCGCTGCGTTACAGGATATTTTGTCTTATCAGTTCCATCTTCCGTGACGATCGATGCTTTAACAGACTCTACCATTACGTTGATATATGTACGGCCCGTATTGACTACATCTCAGTTGTCATTCACAGTCACTCACAGCAGTTGCAGTATCGCGACCAGAGTATTCATTCATCTCCCAATTCACTTTTAAATCTGATTAGACTGCGAGTCTGGCTCTGCCGACTAGATTCGTTGATGAAAACCAAGTGGCTGAATTGCAATGTATTTATACTCTGTCTACACTTTATAACTTCTAAAAGTGGCCGAACTTGAAAAAGTCCTAAAAAGTCTCTTCAATTTATTGATCGTTCATCACCTGAATGGGATGTTTTAGGCTTCTTACACCAGATTTTTACTATAAAATATTTGACATAGAGCACGTGCTCTTGATCGACCTGCGAACATTTGTTCTGAGTAATTTCTTTGCCAACTTTAACCCTCTACCGCTGTATGTCCTCTCCGGGAATATAATTTCAAAGTCAAGCTTTACATAAACTATTGACTGTAGCAACCTGAGGACGTTTGCACGCAACAGAGAACTTTTTAAAGTTGCCGCCACGTGGCGGCAACCATCAGTGCAAGTCATTTTGCGCTCACTAGCAATGATAGCTAGTGAGCCCAGAAGCACTAGCTTTTGGGTAGGCTTGTGTGACAATATTGCTCCGGTTACTCATGTCAGGCAGTAGAGGGTTAAGTGTTGCAATGACATGCTCGTGAACAAGACAAATAATTACGTAAAAAAAACTTAGGAAGAAAGCACTAGGAGAAACTACGATTGGCTTAGCCACCTTATAACAACTACTTCAAATCTAACAAAAACTGGCTCTACCTTGACGCGCCACGAGAAGAGCAGGCTTTTACATAAAGAAAAAAAAACCCTGCTTTGAGATCAGATATGGAATCAACCGAATTCGCCAATTGGTCACTTATTTCACGTAGCCAATACGACTAAAATCTAACATTACTAATCTCTTCTTTTGCCAGCAGTCAAGCTGTTTTTTGAGCGGTCATGTAGCCCTGCAGCAGCATAACAGCGCAGCAGAGGGAGGCGGTGTAGGTGAAGATTATCAAGAGGTCCCAGGGGGGACGGACAGACAGGGTGTCTGTTGATAAGTTGATGAGTCCCGTCATTATATTGGCGGCCAGGAAGAACAATAACTGGTGTTTGTTGATAGCCTGTTGAGGAAGACTGCTTTGAGGATTAAGTTACGAAAAGCAAATAATAATCTATGCATACACTGCACGAGAAGCTATACGTTTAATTTAATTAAGCAGATATCAATGACACAATCGAGGTCCACAGCCAGTTTTTCAATATTCAGCAGCCCAATGGAGAATTAACTGGTAGATCGGAGAGCGAAACAGACTCATTTTATACTTTTCATTCTATTTCAGTTGATTTTACATCACAGTACTGGATAATTTAAAAGAATTTAAACCGATTTAATTTTGAAAATTGACTAAATAGATTTTCGATCATTCAATATATTCGAAAATTCAATGTTGAGCAATAATTACTAAGTAAATATATCAGATGCTACAATACTTTCATGATGCAGCGTTAAACAATATTTATATGAGCGGCAGATGAAGGGTTCACTGATCAGCCCACGCATCATCACGCGTTTGTAAATTGACATCTTCGTGGAAATAGAAGGTCGATGTCTTGGATGAAGTAATTTTTCGAGCTAAACTCACCCTCAGCACCCGTGGTACGACTTCACGGTTGTGACCTCGAGCTTTAAGAGCCGCCTCAACGCTGCTCGCCAGACCAGTGAACAACAGGAACACGAACACCTGAAATACAGACGACCGCTATTCATAAAAAAAAACTAGATGGGAAATAAGACTGAGCTGAGCTGAAAGAATTTTAAAAAATTAATAAACTTGAAAGAAAATTATATTTTGGGTAATGTTAATGACAGATACAGAATTGTTATGATACGAGCCAAAATTTGTGCGTGAAACATATGGGAACCATTAAAACTAACACAAAAAGTGACTTCGTTCAAAATTTGTTGGAAAATCACAATATCGCACTTGATTAAAGCACGTTATGCGAGTCGATTGAAACGCCGTTAGCTTTCTACACTAGAAACAAAGTATTTTTGTACGTCATTTACCATCCAGATGATGAAGGGCGCGTTTACGAGACGTCTGGAAGGCTGCAGGCGTAGCACAGATACGAGGAGCCACAGTACGGCGCCCGCCCCCGCCGCTGCCACCGCACAGCCGCGGGCCAGCGAGCGCGCGCTGTGCTCGTACGCTGTACCTCCGCTGTGCGCGAGAAACTAGATCTCAATCATTACGTTGAGTGAAAGTATGTTATTCGATCAAGCATTAAGTTGTACAAATAAATGTAATTTGATCAGTTACGTTGTACTAGCGAGAAGTGGAAACGATTGGTCGAATATTGTTTATGTCTCAAAAAGAAGAACTTGTATGAATAGATCGAATAAGTTGTCTGAATGGGTTTAATTACATCAAGAATTAAATTGTACAAGCGAGAAGTGGGAAAAATAGTTGAATACTGTTTATGTCTGAAGAATAATGAGCCTTATAACATGGACGAAAGTAAAACCCAGACAAATGATTATTAGCAGCTGTGGAATAAATAGTACTAAATGTAAGTTGATATTTTTAGTGACATCAGTTAATGCGACGTACAAGCTTTAAACTCCTGCGGTCATTACTTATAATCGTGTAAGGCGAGGCCAGAAAATTTTTCTAAGGGGCAATTTGTACCACTAATAACCGGTAATTATTTACTCTAGCTGATAATAGTAGGTAGACAAGCTCACCTCTTCTGACGCAGGACGACCTTACCGAGCGCAGCGCCCCAGCAGTAGAGAGCGACGTAGCCTGTGGCGCCCACCACAGCCTCACGGTTGCCGGAGACAAGCGAGTCCCTGAGAACAGACAACACATCACTATGGTGCCCAGGCAACACATCACTGTGGTGCCCAGGCAACACATCACTAAGTATACTAATACTAATTAACGTTAATTATATATTTAAAGGAACAAAGAGTAATTTTTATTGAATTTTTTTCAGACACTCTCTAGTTCACATGTAGCAACGCATCGGCGACTAAGAAGGCAATGGCCGAAACGATGAATAACAAAAACCAGCACAGAGAGTGCCAAATTATGAATAAAAATAGAATAAGAAACCACAAAAGCAACATGACTGTAGAGAATCCTGCACTGCAGGCTTAATGAACTAAGGATATACAACTAATATTTGTAAAATAATTTCAAGCCAACGAGTCTGTTGAACAAGCGTGCGGCCTTGATTGCAGAGTTTGATTGAAAGGCTAATTTATCCTACAAGGAAAAACAAAAGTAAAATTAATCAATATTGACATTTTAATTATAAAGTTTACCTGAGTTGAGAACTGAAGACCCAGTCTTGCAGGAGAGCTGTGCAGCAGTGCTGCAGTGCCGTGCAGCAGCAAGCAGCGGCTGCAGCTCCTGCAGCACTCACAGACCAGCACCACGGACCACAAATAATCTGCCATACAACGAACGATCCATTCGAATATTTCACTTCAATGTGAGACAAGCTACGTTCCCTTGTATTTCTAATTTTTATTTTATGCTTGTTTTTCAATGGATCGTCAAGACAAAATTACTGTATTGTTTTCCCAACGGTTGATGTGCTTTGCTTTTCCATCATATCATAATATCGTCAATTTTATGCATCCTTAGAACTCATTCAGAGAGATCTTGAAATTTTCTTAACCCATTTAATGGTTTAATAAAGATCACCATCAACTTATACTGCATGTACATAAAGATTATCATTCATACATAAATTAACGGAATTTTCTCTTATTTTTCCAAACAAATTCATAAATGCTTTTTGTGTAAAATAATGCCCGAAAAGCCATGGTTGTTGTTAGCTTTGTCTTGATTAAAGATTTTCTCATGTTACTTACCGGTACCGGTAATACAGGAATTCAACAAAATAATTGTAAATTATCTTACAAATAGCTAGTCTGCTATAGCAGTGGCAGTAAATCTGACTTTAGTGAAGGCGAGCACGAAGAAGAAGTTGCAGTGTACGCCGTACTCTGATGCGTGCTGCTGGTAGTCTATGGCTGGCAGTGACAGCAGCCGTGCGCATCCCAGCGCCAGCAACACGCACGTCTCGCGCAGCACCGTCCGCACACTGCCACGGTGATATCATTAAACAGCGAATAATAAAAACAAAATAAATCATGATAACAATGAACTGCCACGCCGATATAATTAAGACGCCAATGATAAAAACAAATAAATCATGATAACAATAAAAATATTACATGCTTTATGTTAAATAATGGTAGAGTTTGTAGAGTTAGTAGATAACGTGTTGGTGGCGATTTTGTTAATGTTAGTTGCGATTTGTGTCTAGTATTTGTTGATGAAAAAATTAAAATATGCAAAGTAATAATCAAAGGGGCAGGTTTACATGTTGAATACATAGCTTGTACATCAATGAGAAAAAGAATTTAAAAAAACACAGCTCTTAAAACAACCCTTGCCGCATAATGTATATACGCTAACTTCACTGTATCATACATTTGATTTTACTTAACCAACACCTCTTGGTTACCAAACGCTTCATGAAAATTACGAACTTCCGTCCTATTCATTAAAGTGTAAAGCTGTTAGACTGGCGAGTTGAGATGCTTCACTAGAGGTCCGTCCCACGGGTGCTGGTTCTTATTATTTCCCGTTCCCGACAGCGATTGTCAACATTAACTACTTAGCCGACTAACATTAGTTTCTATTGCAAACATTAACTACTTAGCCGACTAACATTAGTTTCTATTGCAAACATTAACTACTTAGCCGACTAACATTAGTTTCTATTGAAATAACAAAATTGAGAATGGGAAGAAACAAAATTGAGTATGGGCTAAGGGCATTCATATATTTATTTTACGCAGCAAAATGAATATATTGCAATGCTGTAATGAATAAATAGATAATGAGACGATAGGGTTGACTGATAATTCATATACATGAACGATTCAATGAATATCTGTTACCTGCGCACGGCGTTCGGCCGCATGTCCACCAGCGCGTTGATGAGCAGGAAGCCTGCAGCTCCCACGTCCATCAAACTCCATCCAAACTCCTCAGTTTTGGCGAATCTATACAAAAAGAATATTTTAACTCGTATACGCAATTTGGATGCATTTAATCAAAAGTGGCTATCAGTAACATCAGCCAGGAGGAGAATGAAATCATATGTTTCAAATGTGAGCGAAGTGGAATAAGGATTAAATTCTCGATTCGCATGATGTCGAGAAATATTAATGGATGATTTTGTTGGACTGATATCCAAATTTCCAACACGTATATACACATGTACAGCAAGATAAAATTGAAGAAAAACATTTGTCTAAATACACCCTGCAATATTTAAAAGGTCACGTTTTTTTGTTAAAGCAGAGAAGTAACTTCATTCAAAAGTAAGCATCATCAGCTTTAGCCCCCGATTTGGTATAAACACAATTAGACGGAACCTAAGAGCTGAACAGCAAAGATTGCAGTTTTGCTGAAATACATATATAATTTAGGAATATTCTTCTACTTCATTACAGTTTTGTCACCCTTTGCAATGGACAGTGAAGCTGAGTAAGCTTTTGAAACAAATCCTCCATTCTGCTGACGTGCTTTCAGTGGTTCCAAGTATGAAATTACAATCTCAAGTCAATGTCCCTCCATGATTTTCCTCTATTTTTTACACAGGCAGATTATTAATATTTATTTATTAATTACTAGTTAATTAACACTGGCCTACGTGGGAACACGTGGAAATCGACGGCCAAGATGGCGACGGCCGTGGAGAGGCCCACGATGGAGCGCACCAGCGTCACGCCGTCACGACCTGACGTCTCCACCTGAGCGAACATCGCCGTTATTACTTGTGGTTAAAAGGCTTATAAATAATGTAACGTATTTCATTCCAATGGACTGACATGATTTGTCAACATCTAAATAATTACCTACTGTTAAACCGTTTATAAATGCCGTAAGAAAAAGTGAAACATGCAAAAGAATGCGCGAATTGAGTAATGCCATTTAAAATCTCGGAACATCATACGTAAAAGGTTTTCTTGAATAATATACAACTGTTGGAAAACGAACTTTCTGGCATCTTTTGAAATAGAACCTTTTCCGGAGAACACTTAAAAATATGAGTATAACACCAGTAGGTAATAATATACGTTTAAAAATTACTTTTTAAAGACAACACTTCTAAAGGGAATACATAGGTGGTTCGACAAATTAAGGACCTGAAATGTCATAGGTATAAAGAATCCAGTGTTTCCAATGTTACAGATGTACAATGAATTTCTAATTTTATTTTCGAATATTAAAAAAATTAACTTTTCATTTTTTTAAAAACATAAAATTATTTTCGAAATTATTTATTCTGTCAATTGATTTCATGCATTGCCTCCAACTTCACACAAGTGTGCAAAATTTCATATCAATTGGACAGGTAAAAGTGTGTCAAATTACTCAAATATCAATTATAAGATTTGTAGCTGACAAAATTATTTTTTTTCTGTTTTTTTTTAATATTGAAAAAAAAAAAATGTATTCTTAAAATTATTTGTTTTGTCATTTGATTCATGCATTGTCTCCAACTTTACGCAAGTGTGCAAAATTTCAGATCGATAGGATAAGTAGAAGTGTGTTAAATTTTGATTACAAGATTTGTAGCAGACAGACAAAGAGACAAACATGAAGTGCAGTTAAAGAGATGTGTTGTAATAATAAGTTACTATTTCATAATTCATACCACAACATTTTTTGCAGGCGACGTAGAAAACGTGTAGGCCACCGCGGCAGCGAGAGAGAGGAAGACTGCCAGAGCTACGAGAAGATCATTGGCGAAAGTTTGCGCTGCCACTATTGGTACCACCACAACCAATACTTCCAACACTGTTCTAAAAAATTATCATTATTAAGCAGACAATTCTTGAGGAATTGCAGAGATAATTGACTTACTAATTGTGGAATTAACTTGCTAACGTTAGTAATTGACTTACTGACGCCGGAAAGGTTAGAACGTAAACATTCATAACGATTATATATCAATACAATAATCACTATCCGTACCTCGAGGAGCAAAATGTCAACTCACCTTCCCTGTAGTAACCTGTGATCGTGCGTGGAAGGGGCAAGTGTAGCAAGGAAGATTGTAGCAGGGAAGACGGGGTACAGGGCGAGTAGCACCTCGTACCACTGGCAGCCCGCGTGCCCAGTCACGTGTTGCTCGTGCGCCGCTCGTATCCGTGCGCGGCTATCCATTCTCATACTAAGTTATGAGCCGTGCAAATTCTAACTACTACAACAACAGCAGTGAGATTTGTGTGGCGGCATTTAATACTATGCTGCACAAGCACCATTAAATCGATAGCATGATTATCCTGCAAGAAAACCATTTTTGAATCTCCAGATCCTGAAATATTCATCGTCTATGACGAAGAGCAGTACATCGAAGTCGAGTTCGCAAATGCTTCATGAGAGTGTTTTCGCTAAGCCACTAGTTTGTTAACCGCGATATCTTTGAAATCAATTAGTGAGGTACATGTTGCGTGGTGTGCAAACAAATTTTAGCAACTCTAGACTCATAATGATGATAAATAATGAAAATAAAATAAAATTTTAGCCTCATAATGGAACCCCAAAACTAATCTCCCAATATAAACCCCAAAACTTATCTCCCAAAATTTGAATTAACTTATATTAAAATTGTTGGCCCGTGGTTCCGAGGGAGCGTCAACGACCAGCCCCTGACATTGCTTCGCTGTCGAGAGTTCAACTCTCTATTGCAATGGGAAACAAAATATCAGACTAAGTTTTTTTTACGTTGATGAACGTAAAAACTTCGTGACGGCCAATGAAGCGAAGCATTAATCGGAGATGGGGCTGAACTCTCGACAGACATGAACGCAATGTCCCACTGCGGTGATAAAAATAAATAACTTGTCGATAGATTCATTTGTATTAAAAATAGATTCGCAATATTGACATAGAAACAATTGTACAGAATAAAGGTTCTTTCATCGAAGAGCTAGAGGGTCTTATCACAAGAATGTGATTTGAACCAACATACATAGAATTAATACATTGCAAGCGAAGCACAGATACTGAAATATGTTCAGTTTTATGGAAGAAGAAAATTATCGGCAGCTCTAAGTAAACCGGCTGAACTTTGTACATAATGATTAAGTGATATTTATTATTTATACATGTAATCAATGAGCAACTCAATTCATAAGAGGGCACAATATCCACGAAAAGATCAGTAACGATCTAGGGTCTTCCATAGTCATGAAATCTACAATTATACATGGAAAAGTTCAAATATGTTACACGCAAGACTCATTAAAAATGCAGCACATATCCGGGAATCTAATCGAACAGAAGATTAAAATGAAGCGGTAGTGAAATATTCGAGCAATTAAGAAGAATACAGTCAAAATATTTAGAAAGTATTTGCTTGAATTATTTCGCATTAATATCGTATAATTATCAGAAAAGAAGAGTTAAACGATAAGAAAGGAATAAGAACGTAGATGTGAGAGATAGTTCACTACCATACATAAAAAGACTAACGTCTATTAATTGATTCAATAAATTATCTTAAATAATGTCGATGAAAAATTCAGAGTACCGTAAAAACTGACACGACACATCAACTTTCTGAAGACAAACGCCCTATTCATGAATATACACAAAAAACAAGTCTGACTTCAGTCATCAAAAATACAGACGATGAATCAATTTCCAGTGAGCGGGAATGGAATATATAGAGGTAAAAATAGGACGTTCAAATTTTTCCTTATTGTTAACAATAATTTTAAACACATAAATTCAGAATATTTGAAAATATGAAGAAAAACACTGTTGACATGCGAGGGACAGATCCGATCACTGTAACTATAGCCGTTCGTATATTTGCTCGACGATTTGCCAACATCGTGTCAGGAAGAAACTTTCATTGTAATTAAGAAATGAATTATTAAGGAGCTTCTTCATCCGGCGTGCAGGATTAGCATCCAGTCCTTAACTAGGCAATGGCAACTCAACTCTAAAAAGTGCAATATGAAAACGAAAATTACATGAATTTCAATCTTGAATAACTCAATGTATAGTTTTACTTTTACGTCTCTCAACCCAAACACAGAACAAAATTACTGATACAAGATACAATGGCGTAATAGAATTCCTATTATATATTCGTACAAGCCTACATTTAACAACTAATTAAACAGAATAACAATTGAATATTTGCGTTCAATATCATTCCGTTTCTCCTAAAAACCCTTCCGAGATACGTTCCTATTTATACAAAGCAGAACTGAAATACAAATGTCGTTAACATCCCGCGTAGGATACTGAGACCGTGATCCTGATTCCGGTGCTGGCGATTGTATTGCTCGAGTGCGAAAAATCACTCCTAAATCCTAATAAAATAATTTAAAACACCACCTGTACGGGTGATACTCTATCCTGATATAGATAACTGACGAAGCAAGGTAACAAGGTAACAAGCGCAATACTTTCGAGATACTACCGCTAATTAGGCTAATAACCCAACAATACCGACGACCAAAAATGATCTCAATGCAATTTGAGAAAACACGGCTCTGTGCAATTGAATGCAGTGGAATTCGCAGTCGAGTAAGTTTCACATCAAACACCGATCTACCGCCATGAAAAAAAAACATCCATCAATTTTCACAGGTGTGACAGAGGAGAGTATGAATGACAACGATGAATGTTACAAATGCAAGTGAGATTCTGAGCACAACAAGGAGAAGTAATTCACCATTATTTCATTTTATACGGTTTTTATCAAGTATTAGGTTCTCATTTCCTTCTCAATCTGATAGATTAATAATTTGCATTGCAAAACTGAATTGAAACTAATTGGTTTAAATGTTTCCGCACATGAAAAAACATTGATCCAAAAATTCTAGTTCATTGAAAGGCATTCATTGCTAAACTGGAAGTAGATCACAAAAATTCAGAAATGAAACTTCATTCTGAGCGATAAGAAAGGAAATGAAACTTCATTTCTGAGCAAGTAAAACCTGAACACGAAGCTTGCATTACATGCTGAGACCAGCAAACTAACACGGCAGAAATATTGTCAGTTCATTATTGCAGTACACAATAATTCATCAAAACAATTGAATGCAGATAACTGCACTCGAATGATGATGATGCGACTCACATGAGACGAGTGCACTATTTTCGGTCTGGGGCCATACTTTCAAAACTCGCTGAGTGAACGTAAGTACTTACGCTCTATTTTCTTGTCCATGATTGGTGGATTTTGCTTGAAAGGCCGTCAATGATTGGCTGATGAACTTACGATCTCTTAACTGTTTTTAAAAGAGTGGCTTGAAAGGCCGTCAATGATTGGCTGATGAACTTACGAACTCTTAACTTTTTTTGAAAGTATAGGCCCTGGTCATTACATTACAATTGCAATCACATTTGCGACATTTGGCTTGAGGATTAGCACGAACCCTAGTCATATAAGCACCCATAAAAAGAGACACTAAAATCGCTTATGTTAATAGCCTGCATTTACTGGCACAAAACGTTCCAAGTCGCACATCCCACTTGGCCTAGAAGTCACTTCATATTGATGAATGCGCATATGGGTACTACACACGAATAGTCGGGTTTAGTACACGCAAAAGTTGTCCAACTACAGTGTCTTGGGAATAGAGTTTGCCATCTTTAGGGTAATTGAATTAACTGGACACGTTTACAAATTGAACAACGTCTTAATTGAAAACGTCCACATATCAATTAAATTGCAAGGCCGCTCAGAATAATACAACTAAATTTGAGATAAGATATTAGAAGTAGGAGATAGGAGCTACTATCATAACCTGCCATACAACACAAGGCCTAAATAATGAGACACAAAACTTGCAGTTCAGGGAAATGGTTACTGAGGAAACTAGAGCTTCAACCTAGGAGAAAAAAAAATGCAGGCAGTAGCTCCCAGTCAATTCCTTAAAATCATGAATAAAAACGGTGATATACTTCAGAAGACAGTCTTGAAAGTAAGGAAAGTCGTCAAGACACTTAAGTTCACAATGTCAACATAACATATATCAGTTCCCCTGTTATTCAAGAGGAAAAAATGAGATCAGAAGCTTCTTCACGTGATTTTCCTCCTGAAGAACTTACATGAGCCTTATTGCTGAAATTCAGAGAAAATCTGCAGCAGAGTATATTACATGAAGTCTATCTAATGAATGTAAAAATTGGAATAAACTCAGTACCAATTGTTCATTTATGTACATTTTAAATTGGAAGCAACATATGTACGACTACATAATAGAAACGTAGCATCATAGGCACAACACAAGGTTATGACTCGCGGACTGCCGTCAGGTAGTGGGAAATACTTTTAGGCCACAAGACAATAGCCTTCTAATGCATGCCATCGGGTGTTAGGTGTCTTCTAATACCTTGAACAGCTTCGTCGCTTGCTGTTATGAGGGGCTAGCGTTCATACCAGAGCTTGAGGCAACAAGGTGCCAGAGATAGGGTGTGTAGCGTAGCTCTTGCATCGATGGTCTACATGGCGGGAGAGGGGTCACTTACTCTTCAACGTGCTTCCTATCCACTCCAGTCCTTGGTACAACCTGTAATATGTAAATATGTATTACTTGGTTATTCTATACCTTTGAATGTGAACAAGAATCCTGCCTGGGCTTGGAAATTTAAAAATTAATTTATTAGAACATATTTGACAGGTGATCATAAAGCCGGACATCTAGGACTGAAATTCTTTTGAATCTAAAAACATTTGTTTGATTAAGTTTGCATCAAAAGTAGAAATAAAAACGAGCAAACATTATTTGTGAAACACATCACTTTCATATGACATTAAAATTTGCTGTCAGTTGACAAAAAGCAAAAAAATTATAGTATGCAGTGTAACAAATTTATTCAGCAGTGCAAGCACATCAAGGCTGAATAGGCATTTCTCTATTCTGATGCTGGTCAGGTCAGTTGTTTGTAGGGTGCAATCTTACCCTTCCCCAGTAAGTGCACAACAAGCTTGAATTTGCCATTTATGCTTTTTAATGCTGGTCAGGTTAAGCATATTAGAAATCTCTGTAGGAGACATGGAGCCTGTCACGTCTTGCTTGTTGGCAAAGATGAGCACAGCCGCTCTGGACAACTCCTCATGCGCCAATAGCCGGTAAAGTTCCTCCTTTGTCAGGTTCAGGCGGTCTCGATCCGTCGAGTCCACAACCAATATAATGAACTGAAAATAAACAAGTACCTTCACATTAATAAAAGGCATTGATAGAGTGGAAGGTGGATTGCAGTGATTTAAAAGTTAGTTAGAGAGAGCAACTGTGGGTGTGATGGAAAATGCAACAAGATACTTGAAAAGCAAGTAGAAACTGACAGAGTGGAGGTAGTGCATGGCACAAACAGTCTTGATTGTTCAAAGATGAATAAATTTAGACCAACCATAGTAAATATCTTCACTCAAGTCCCTGTTCTAAAATTTCTTTATTTTTGTTAAGGAATTAAATTTACGGATTGTTGATTCATAGATTTAAGGCTTTATTTAGGCTTACGACCATATACAAGGTTTTTCGATTTTCATTGGCTTAAGCATGTTGAATTAAGCTAGTACGGTAATTTTAGGTAGTCATTTGAATTTATAGTGATTTGCTGCTTACATTATTTGCAAATCACTTTTGGTGCGGGGAGTGTTAAAGAATTAAAATTCACGTACAGTTTATTTGCATAACTTTATGCAGAATCTTTTTCGCGATCTCCACTTTGGTAAAAGCCTTAACTTTAAATGTCTTGAATATCAATTACCAGCATCTGTATCAGTATACTGCATCTGTGTCGTTGTGCCACTTCATGCCACATTTTCCAACCACAATTTCACCTGGAAAATTAAGTATTAAAGGGCACACCAGAATACAACAGAAACTATCTTCGGCCTCTTGTAAGAAGATTCGCGAGTCTACAGCGGTCCGTCACTTGTGCTGGACGTCTCATCTGTGCTTCGCGATTTCGTGTGGTGACGCTCTCGTCCAGTGTGGCCCTGCTTGAAGTTACTGTGGACTTCAGTTGATGCTCCATCTCCACTAGACTCATCCCCCGTCATCCTCCTGCCTTGGACGTGAGACGTGGACCGCTGGCCGTGCCCATTCTTCGGTGCAAACACGTGAACTCCAGACGACAGCATGTGGTGGGTGGCGTGACGACCATTAGTGCAGTGTCCTTTATGCCTTTCCAAATGCTGTTTAATTTGCATAGCCAAATAGTCTTCTCGAGCTGTCAATTACTTTAATTTAAACATGATCACAGTAGCCTTCATTAAATTTAATCTATATTGCGGTTATCCCATATTGTGGAGATCGTTAGAAAGATTTTTGGAAACTTTGGTACATTTAAGCAACTCTAAACACAGAGCATTGCAAGTCTAAACTGTTAATGTACTTTGTCTCCTGCTTAATTATGTCGTATATTTAGGTGCTGTGATCTCTTGAAAATTTGCCTGGGACTGCGGCGGGAGCACTGGCCTACTGCTTACCTTTCAGCGGCAGGGGTCCCCGCCACAGCTATACCGGATTTGGGGAGGATACTGAGCTATGACATTCGTCATACATTTTTGATGCGACGCACGTCGCATATTTCATCGCTCAATAAACTGTTCTTCTACCAATCCAATTTTTAATCCCTAATAAGTTTTTCAAGAATTTTTGAAAGCACTTTCATAGTGTTCAGGGATGTTAAGGATAATAGTTTTAGGCTCTCAGGTACTGTTAAGAAATGCTTAGATTGTTCTTGAATATTTGGATAGATTCTGAGAGATGCATTGACTTTTGAACACGTGACAATTAGTTGTTTGGCTGACTTTTATGTTATCTATGAAAAAAAGACATATAAGTATACTTTCAGAGTCTTAAAAGGGGAAGTTTCACAGTTTCTTGGGATAGCAACAACAGCATAGATCAGTTCCTCAGTAATTCAACAGGAAAAAAATGAGATCAGAAGCCTCCTTATATAATCTCCTTACTGCAGGAAGGTCTGACATGACATCGCCATGCCCTAAATTTAATTTCAGCCAAACAAGTGAATGCGATAGAATTTTAATTTGACGAGACCTTAATTTAAGTAGTTAGATTGTCAGTATAAATGGCTAGCACTTTAATTGGTCCAATTCATTTCAGAACTCTTTTTATTGTGACATATATTTCAGTAAGATTAGTAGCACTTACTGCAACACTCTTACAAAAAAAAAGCAGATGTCACAAATTTATCACATCTGTAATATTAACCCCACATCTGTAATATACCCCCATTACCCCATATCTGTAATATGCATATTACCCCCATCTGTTACTGATTTACTAGACAACCTCCAACATTAATAGGAACAATCATGATTTTCATTGAATCATAACTTCAAGTCTCTATGTATATGTTACACTTGTAATTCAATTTCTCTATGAGATTTTTCAATAGTTATTCATTTTCCAAAGCTGTTAGTAAGGCTACAATAACAAAGAAAAGTTGATTTCAATGAAATTTTGATTTTTCAAACAAATTTTTTTATTCAAATGTTTTTTTTTTATGAAAACCATGATTTTCTAATTTAGAATCACACAAGTTTCTATACCTGCATTACTACTACCTATGAAAGAAATTTTGTTCACCTCAGTGTTTGTATAGTAGGTATTCCATGCAGCTCGTAAGACCTCTTGCCCACCAAGATCCCACATGATGAAGTGCAGGTTGTTCCACACAACCTCTTCAACATTGCTGCCTATAGTAGGAGATGTGTGCACCACTTCATTCATTAGCAGCTGGTACAGAATTGTAGTCTTGCCAGCATTGTCCAGACCAACTATCACAATCTTGTGTTCTGGAAAAAAATTATGATTGAGCTGATAAAGCTATGAAAGAGTTTGTGGAAAAGCTATATTCTACAATCCATAACTCCATAACAGAACATCCATAACAGAACAAAACTAGATTTGTAAAAACATAATTCATTGAAAATTTAAGAAATAATAAATATAGTTACATATTTATAATTAAAATTATATTGATTTTATATCAGAAATATGGAAGAAATATTCCAGAAATTCCCATTGAAATGGTTGGGCTTATCAGCTTAGCTCTAATGACTTAACCCTTTCACGGGTAAGTTACCATATATGATCACTTGAAATCGCGTCAAAAAAAGCCTCACCACGGCTTCCTGTTTGTTTTTGAGGCTTTCTTATAATGCCTCAGTCAATCACTAATTATCTGACCATCGTTCTATCTAAAGCATCACCAGCTGCAAAGTCCACAAATTGAAATATGAGCATTTAAATGAAGGTTTCGACTCGGACAATGGAATTGACGCTCTTTCTGCATTTTCTTCAAAAGGTGGAAGTATCAATATATATATTTATTTATTTTGGCAACTTGATTAAATTTAATTAAATTAAATTTTTATGTTTCTAATTTTTCATTTGCTTAAACTGAATTTTAATTATAAAGTAAAATTTTGTGTACTGATAGCATTTATTGAATTCTTCAAGTGCAATTTAAACTTTCAATAGGCAAAATTTGCAAAAATTCATAGAAATAAATATATTGTATAATACTTCTTACTTTCTTGAAATGGTTTCTGAAATTTTAATTTCTGGATATTTCAATGCTTGCCTGCTAAAGGGTTAAAATAATAATTATAAATATCTTTTAGTGAGATATGAACTAGAAAATTTTTAGTAATCTTCTATAACAAATTGTTTGAGAAGCATGTTTCATGAGAAACTCAAATTAGCATTACAGCTTGAAACATCAGAAACAAAAAAGTTATGTCTTAATACATAATTTCAGAAATAAATTAATTCATTATCTAAATTCTTCCCATACAAGCTTAGCTAGTACTAGCTACAGTGGTATCTCAATTCTCAGGAGCAAAGTTTAATCTATTCTAATTTCTAAAGAAAATCAAATTCTGTTTTGAAATCTTTCATTTTACAGTAATTTTCAAAATGTCAAGAAAAATGTGCCATTTTTCATATATTCTATGAAAGAAATTAGGCAAGGCATATAAAAACAGCTGCAGGTGAAATTGATTTAGAGCATGGTAATTTTTGCTTCATTCTTGACTATGTATTGCCTAATTTGCCTGATTTCCCGGATGTTTTTGGTCTAGTTAAAAATATTGAAGCTTGCCAATTTTATGTCCTAAAAAATTTGAAATTTTGCTATTCTGTACTCCTGAAAAATCCCAACCTTACCTAAAAATTGTTTATAACAAATTGCCTAAAAAATCATGTAGCTAAGGCATTTTCTTGACAATTGTAAATCATGCTAATTGACAAATGCAAAATTTATGACACTCATGGACTAATGGCTGCAAAAATGCAGTCAAGAGTCAAGACTTGGCATAGTGGCAAAGCAGAGAGTTATTTAGACTCTTCCTCAAATTCATTTTTGAGTCCTATAAGTAGACCAGTAAAGTAGCTATCATGGATACCAGCTTTATCATACTTAAGAAATTGATTTAAATCTTTAGTAAATGATGAAATTAAAAATGAACTGATTCTAAAAAAGCTCTCGTTTGCCACTATGAGACTTGGAGACTGGAGACTGCTTAGTGACACTGTGACAGTTTTCAGATTGTAATGAAATAAATGAATGACAACTAAAATGTCTCATTTGTCAGCAACAAATTTATTTTGCATTTAGTGATCTGTTTCAACAGTGAACAGCCTATTCCAAAATTCCATCAATTTATGAATTTATTGGCTACTGGTATTAGATTCCTAGATTCTCAACCTAGAATATCTCTGGATTCTTACATTTCTCAGTTGCCATTGTGTCAAGGAGAACATTAGATATTTTCTTGTATTTTTACGAGTAGGCTGAACTAGTTGCCAATAATATGCCATAGGCACCATACCATGATGATATGACTATATTATTATGGCATTCCTAGTGGATAGTGTGTCACTGTGTCAGTGTGTGTGGCTAGGTAGGTAGTCAATGGCTAGTCACTAGTGGCTCGACTAGCCTAGTGGCCCAGTGGCTAGTCAATGACTCAATGCCTCAATCATCAATGGCAATATTTCAAAACACAATTCCTTTATTAATAATAAAAGCACTACAATCAAGAATTGACAAACCTTCAGTCCCAAATAAACTCCAAAGTTTGGCGAGTATAATTCCCATTTCGATTCAAGTCGGCCTTATTGTGGAAGGGTTGGAGTAAGACTATTTTCATACAGGAAACGACACACAAGTTTTTCGCACCTTTCTCCGTCTGTGGGCCCAGCAGGTATTGGGCAACATCCGGAAGCGAGGAACACTGTTTTTGCACGTTTTGAAATGGTTTTTCGCTTTTCTTGTTTTACTTGATATCATCGAATCTACAATGGAACGGAGTTATTTCATTATGGATCCAGCAAGGTTTTTGTGCTAATTGGAGATTGATTCTATTTATAGCTTTAATCGCTCTACAATGGAATAATTTTATCCACTAGAATAGCACAAACTCACTCACATAAGAATTGACATTCGACACCTGCTCATTAAAATCTCAACACATTGTGCCTTGCAAACGACGTATTGACTGAATGAGCCAATCATGGATTGAGCATTTGATGCTTCAGGAATCCTCTCATAATATGAGAATTCAAAACGAAAAATCGAAAAACTTGTTGATCGAGGTCTAATCAAACTAATAATGGTAAAAACAGTGCTATCTTTTAGGAATCGCATTGCATTCAAGAATTAAACCATTCTTATGCGATTGTCACAAATATTTCCAGCAAAAAAAAAAAAACAAGAATAGGCAATGGACCTATTTCTTCAGTGCCGACACTTGTATTATGAGAAAAATGAGCAAACGAAAAAGTTTTCGTTGAAAATATTGACTACATTGAAGAACTTCAGCGAGAAGCAGATACTATTTTGATTTTGCATGAAAAGTACCATTCAGATAAGTGCGAAAAAATTCGAATTGAACGACTCTGAATCAGATTTTCTGAAGAGCGGACGCATATGAAATATATTCTTCGAACGCTTAAAATCAGCTTGTTCTAAACGACAAAAATAGCTCTAACATCCCACGACCGGCTGTTTGATGAATAAATGGAACAAATGCTGCATTGAAAAATTCTTTATATAGAAATACGCATTTTGAACGTTTTTTCAGTCGTCTCGGACACTGAAAAGTGGGATAAAACACATCCCAGAATATCATGTATATAGAATTACTAATAAAAATCAAGGTTACTTATAGGCGTCATCATTGAAGTTTAATTGTGAAAACGTAGAGCAGGAATGATGGCACAAATTATTTGTAGAATTTATAATCGAATTTTGAATGTTTCCTCCTTCTCAAGGTTTAACTTGTCTGCTCGGTAGGTCGCATCAGGATGTCGTTGATCTGGAAAGTGAGCAGAGATGGATTTGAAATCCCAATAATCGATGGGATGAAATTTTTAAAAACTAAATTCAAATCAATTTCAAGACTCAATAAATCAATGTAAGGTTTGAATTTATGCATAGGCTAGGAAGAACTGCAAATTCTATAGCATAACGATGCAGATAACACATCAAATGTGAGAGGTCTGTTATATAATACGGATAAATCAGATGAAATGATCGATATATTACAACGACAATGAATAAAGGCAATCATCGGTGATAATTTCACCTCGACATGAGGAGGCGCAACGAGCACATGCACGACGGAGGCCGCCACGTCCTCGGCTTTGATGCAGTCGATTGAGCTGTAGAGTTTGTCAGCGTACGCCGCGTCGCCAGTCATGTTCTGCATAAACTCCGTCTGCACCAAGCCTGGGCTGATAGACTGTGAAATATAATAGTGTTATGACATGTATGCTTCTGATAAAATGATGTTAACACGTTGACTACGTATTGGTACATATGTGTACCACGAAATGTATTTCTCCAGGAGGTAATGGTACATAATTCAGGTTGCCTAAAATCGGCCAAATCCGAGAACAAAAAAGGCCGATAATTCAATGTATACTAGTTTATTTGTAGGTTCCGCTATAAAAATTCCATTTATTTTCTTTTTGCAGTATTTAAAATTTAATTAGGAGGTACCCCTATCATAAATTTTGGCCGGCCAACGCAACTGAGAAAAACTAAATCGCGGAATTTGTCCGGAAAAAATGACCGTCTGGCAACCCTGCTTAAAATAAGTACAAAAAATGAAATAATTGTACAAGATGAAGCAATCGCAGTCAACGTGTTAAAATAAGCCTAGATCTAAGTTACTTTTGAGGCAAACGTCGTAGTTAACATTGAGTTAACTGAAAAGAAACAATTGCACTAAGATGTGTTTTATCAAATATATCTTAGAATAAAAAATAACTACATCAAGAATAAAAAAATAATGTAAGTCTATATCGTTGTCGGACGGCCTCACGTTCTTTTGATTGAACAATTAAAACTGTGCCAAGTAAATGGATATTAGTTACGACATTGAATAGACAATTCATTGAGTGACAATGCAGGATCGTGCATCAACTCTAGCCGATGCCGTATCCAGTGATGAGCTTATTTCTTCTGTTTAGCCAGACTGACAGTACAAAACGCACGGTGAGCCTAATTCTTCTATTTAGCCCGCCAGACTTGCAGCACAAAACGCACGGTGAGCCAAATTCTTCTATTTAGCCAGACTAGCAGCACAAAACGCACCGAGATTATTCTATTTAGCCAGACTTGCAGTACAAAACGCACCGAGATTCTGATGTGGGACTTGGCAGCGCGCAGCTCATGCCTCAGGCCCTCCGTGAGCGCCTTGACTGCGTGCTTCGTGGCGCAGTAGAAATGCGTGGGCGAGTTTGGCGGCACGCGGTGTCCGGACAAACTAAACAGACAATACATCAACTATCAGCTACATCAATTATCAGCTACATCAATTATCAGCTACATCAATTATCAGCTACATCAATTATCAGCTACATCAATTATCAGCTGCATCAATTATCAGCTGCACCAGTTATCAGCTACATCAATTATCAGCAGGTGGCAGAAAGATATAAACTGAATATTTATTTGGACCTTTTAGGCTATAAATTCCGACACTAACGACATTAAATAATATTGACGCACATTAAGAGTTATGAAAACTCGCCTTATTATTAGATATTATTATTAGCTGACTTTTGATCATGCACAATTACTTGGGAATTACGTGTAATTACAAAAATAATATAATACAAACAAAATAATTCCAAGTAATACCTAATTAATACTTTGACAATTGCGACCTGATTAATTTCATGAAAATGAATTAACTTTACTATAATGTCAATAGAAGTAATTTATTATTAGTAATAAATATTTAATTCAACTGAAACATTAAAAGCACAACTGCGAAGGTCAAACGTAAATGCCCTCACTGACAAACTCTGACCTGCTGATGTGAATAATATGGCCATCATCAATGCCGGCCTCCTTCATGCTGTTGACGGCAAGCTTGGTGAACAGACATAAACCCACGACGTTGACATCGAGCATCTGTCGCCACTCCTGCGGACTGCCGTCTGGCAACATACAAAATAGTTATTCTTTAATTTCAGAAAGAAATGTCAAGCTCGACGTCTAAAACTGAACGCAAGGTCGAAGTTCACGAGCTCACGCAAAACACGCTTTCTGTCTCGCCTCAGCTCCAGAATAAATCTGTTTTGCTGCTAAGTTTAATAAAATACTATCTAACATCGATCATATTCGAAACTAAGGCAGAAGGTTAGAATTTGACTTGAGATTGACACGTATGTCATCAATACGACATTTTTGAGACACCACACGTGCTGTTATATAAATAAGCGACATGCTGTCGACATAAAATATAAGCGACATAAAATGAAATCATCACGAAAATTTAGGACCCGATAAATGCTCGCACTTTTACTATTTACTCTTCGCAACATGTGGGTATATTCCTGAAACATCATTAAAAAACCTGTGACTCGGGATTGTCGGTTGACACCAGAAGAGTTTGGTACGATACAGAAATTTGAAAGACAAGTTTGATTTCAGAGGAATTGAATGAACGGTAAGAACAGAGTGGCCTTCAGCATCTTCGAGCTCATCTCACAGTCCGTTATATCTGGTCTATAAAAGACACAATATTTACTGCCAGAATCTCTTGCTATCCCATAAAAAATCATCGGCGATAACGTGCGTGGATTAAAAAATCAATATTTCCAACAGAGGTAGCCATTGCTACTGATGGCTGCTATTAATCAACCAATGTAAAGAAGCTAACACTACATTTATAGAAAATTAGCCAAATATATACATATATTATATATGCCAGTACAGTTATGTACAATGCCACAGAAGTTTGACATGCATAGGGAGATTTCTGGGGTAACTTCTCAGATTTCTCTGGGGTAAAATTTCTCAGTATGGTTTGGCGAGGGTAAATACTAAATACCAAGGAGGGAATTGTTGCAGCTGATGCCAGCGTTGTTGATGCAGCAGTGGACGGCACCGTGGGTGCTGAGCACCTGCTTGAACACCTCCTCCACCTCCTCGTCCTTGCTCACGTCGCACTGCAGCGCCGTGAGCGTGCCGCGCTCACCTTCCAGCTCCTGAGCCAGTTCCTGACAGCAATTTGCTTCCATGATCTTACAAGTAATTAAATATGTTGAAGCTATGAAGAGGTCATATGTAGAGGTTATATGAAGAGGTCCTAAGCCACAAAAGAAGACCATGTCACCATAAACGTCTCCTGTTCTAGCAGGACTTTCATCCTACAGGCAATGTTCAACGTATCCCAAAGTAAATAATTATGTAGATTTCTTATGCATTAGCAAGCGCACGCAGTAGCTGTACAGTACAGTATACAGTTAATCTACCAGGTAATATTCGACGTATTCAACAATACTCAAAGTAAATAATCATGTAGATTTCTTAAGTGTTCTACGCAGTGCAGCACCACTAACCAGGATCCTGTGATGCGCTCGAGCGACGCCCACGACGCGCATGCCGAGCGCCACGAGGGAGCGGCAGATGGCGGCGCCGATGCCGGCGCTGGCGCCCGTCACGATGGCTACTTTGCCCTGCCACCGCTCCATGCCTGCCGTCTGCCACCAACAACAAATAAGGGCTTAGTCGCACCATCAAACGTTGGTGGCAGGACTCAGAGCTGCCGTCTGCCACCAACACTAAAGACATTAGTTCTTAGTTTCATAAAACGTTGGTGGCAGTGCGCAGGTGGCAAGAGCTGTCGTCTGCCACCAACACTAAAGACATTAGTTCTTAGTTTCATCATTAAACGTCGATGGCAGGGCTCAGAGCTGCCGTCTGCCACCAACACTCAAGACATTAGTTCTTAGTTTCATCATCAAACGCTGGTTGCAGGTCTCAGAGCTGCTGTCTGCCACCACCATGCAACACATAAGGGCTTAGTTTCATCAGCAAACGTTGGTGGCAGGGCTCAAAGCTGCCGTCTGCCACCACCAACACTTGTGTTGTGCCACAACCAGCACTTGTGCAACTTGTGTCATACCGTATAGGCATGACAATTTGTCAGACACAGAACTTTGCTCGCACGGAGCTGCTCAGCAAGCATCATGAGATAAGATAAACAGTTGTGTAACAATTATGTAATGCCAGTCACGGTGACTATAAGCAATGAGCGTGCTTTCGGCACACTCTAAAGTGATTGGTATATAATAGGAGATTAAATTCAATATTTAATAGAAGAGAATAAGAACGCGAGACGCTAAATATTAAATACATCTCAGGTGCGACAGCGATACGGTGTTCAACTCACCGAGCTTGAAGTCATCACGCAGAGAGTTCTTGAATTTATGATGAATCAAGGTAGCGAAATTCGATCACGAGAGATCAGCAATCACTTAAAGTCATTCACAGTTATTACTATAGGGAACGTTTATACATACTACAATAAAAAATGGTGAGTCAGTCAGAGGTTATTAGTTCCAGAGGAATATTAGTACGAACAGAAAAGAAATATTAATACGAAGAGGTTTCTAAAAGTGGGATTGCACAAAAAGCACTATAATAAATCGAAGCTCCCAATATTATTTGCTAAATATGAGTACCGTACATAGAAAACATAGACAGGATCGCTATAAAGCAAACCGATTTTCTCAGACGACGCGTTCATCTGAAAGGATTGTTCTCATAGCCAGAATTTTAATAAGGGAATATTTCTACCATAAATTATGTAACTGACCTAATCAAGATAATAATGTTACGATGTGATACATATATTATGCAGATTTTGTGTCTTAGTGAGGGTATCTGAAGGCGGTACCTTCTTCACATTATTTCAGCTGCTGTGCTGCTAGCAGCTAATGGAGCTATGGAAACATGGGAGCTAAAATATTTGGTTTTCTCTCGAACTGATCTGTGATTGTCGGGACCGAGATAAAGACCGAGAGCACTTATGGAGAAACGACTAGTACGTATCAGAAGAGCACGGTATTTGGCTTTGAGATGAATGACGCACCGCGTTGACTGCACAACACTTTTAACATTTCTACCGTCAATGCGCTAACGTCGCAGCACTTGAGTCGTCAGCCTTCGATAGAACCGATCTATTATCAAAACAAAACTGAACCAAGTTTCTAGCGCGATAAAAACAGCTTCGTATTTATTATGTAGTAATAACAAATCGTAGGTATGACCAGTATTATAGGGTTTTTAATCGAGCGGAGAACGAGTGCAGTAACTATTGAGTGGCGACTTATGTGCCGTTGACGGTCGACCAAGAGTGAGTCATTGGCATCAATATGGACACAATGAACTAAACGACACAATTTGTATGCAAACTAACATTATCTTTAAAGTGTGTACCTCGCAGCGAGAACTCGTTTGGTGTGCCGGCAACAGCCTAGGAGCCGAACTATAAAGAATAGTTACGAGTTCCTAACGCAGTTAGCCTATAACCCTCAGCGTTTCAAACTAAACCCACCAATTACAAGCGAGAAAATGACCACTGTGTGTACTGAAACAAGTTTGGATAGTATGGTCGTTGATATGAGACAACCGCATGCCGTGCACTGACTACGACTGCCAACAAGCTACTGCTTCATGGCTCTGCTACACGAGATGCCATGGGCGTTAATTGTGAGCTACAGATTACGGACGTCTGTCCGTTGCTGTAAATTGTGGTGTCGCGCGAGTCACAAGACGTCCCTTCAAGTCACAACACGTCACCTCACGTCACAACACGTCCATTCAAGTCACAATACGTCCCTTCAAGTCACAACACGACCCTTCAAGTCATAACACGTCCCATCAAGACACAAAACTTCGCATCTAGTCACAACACGTCACCTCAAGTCACAACACGTCACCTCAAGTCACAAAACTTCGCATCAAGTCACAACACGTCATCTCAAGTAACAATTAACATGTCACCTCAAGTCACAGAACTTCACACCAAGTCACAACACGTCTCCTCAAGTCACAACACGTCACCTCAAGTCACAAAACTTCACATCAACTCACAACACGTCACCTCAAGTCACAACACGTCACCTCAAGTCACAACACGTCACTTCAAGTCACAACACGTCACCTCAAGTCACAACACGTCACATCAAGTCACAACACGTCACCTCAAGTCACAACACGTCACTTCAAGTCACAACACGTCACCTCAAGTCACAACACGTCACCTCAAGTCACAACACGTCACCTCAAGTCACAACTTGTCACCTCAAGTCATTACACATCACCTCAAGTCACAACACGTCACATCAAGTCACAACACCTCCCCTCAAGTCATAACACGTCACATCAAGTCATAACACGTCCCTTCAAGTCATAACGCGTCACATCGTCACAACAAGTCATCAAGATGCAGTCTTTCATCGAGCAGGCCGATAATGGAGTCATGGATTTTATTATTTAAATATGAAAAATATTTAAAATTTAGAATAATTATAAGAAATCGGAAGCAAGATGTTCGTTTTAGAGCTCACTAGGCTGATCCTGCGCTGACACGATTGTTTGGAGCGGAACAAGAGACATTTAAAAAACAAGAGCAGTAAAAATCTTTGATTGAATATTACTTGTTACAGAGCGACTTTTCTGGACATAAAATCATTGTTTGGCAAGACCGCAATCAAATCTTCGTCACTGAACTAAACGAAAAACATTTAAAAAAAAACAAGAGCAGTAAAAATCTTTGATTGAATATAACTTGTTACAGAGCGACTTTTATGGTCATAAAATCATTGTTTAGGCAAGACCTCAATTAAATCTTTGTCACTGAACTGAAAACTTTCCTTGAAGCCCACCCAGATTTAATTAATTCGAGTAGGGGTGAGTTTAAATAGGGCATGTAATACTTAGATAATATTTGATCAGTCGGGATGAACGAACGCACGCAGATCTCAGTACCTACTTACTATCAACATTTTTTAAATCTCTTCGATTCCGTATCGTCACATGACTGAAATATTATTTCATATGTTTGTATGCACTTATAATATTGTGTTATAAAAATTATTGAAGGAGGACTCAGATGAACGACAGAGTGGCAAAGAAAAAAGACTTGGAACTCCAATGAGTAAATCTAAGCTACTCAAAAACTTGAGAAAGACGGCAAAGCTCGTACAGTGGCGGAAATGGCTATAAGACCACCCTGTTTTTTCTAAATATTTTTTCTTGCATAAAAAATTTTGGATTCTAATTATACGAGGCTAAACTACGGTTAAAAACGGTTCCAACTCTATACGTAAGAAATATTTTTTTTAAATATATGAGAAGAAATGATGAAATTTAGAAAAAATATAACTCAGTACTCACTGCAGTGAGTGACAGAGAGCGCATTTTCTCGTAGACGAAAACATGAAGTCACGGACGGACAGACAGACAGACGGACATGGCGAGCACAATAGTGCATTTTTTTTCCATAAATGAGGAAATGCGCTAAAAACTAAACTAAAACTTTCGTCTCGCCGACGAAGACTTGAGGTCACGGACGGACGGACGGACGGACAGACAGACAGACAGACAGACAGACAGACGATCATGGCGAGCACAATAGTGCATTTTTTCCATAAATGAGAAAATGCGCTAAAAACATAGGTGGAAATGGTTATGAGACCATGAAAGGTTTTTCCGTTTTTGGATTCCATACACTCGTTTTAATAGGCAATATTACCTCCTTTCGCCTCAATTACCTCAATGCATCTTCTCCCCGTGCGATTGACCAAATAATCCTGAGTCTTTCAAGGAATTTTATCCCAGGAACGAAGGATAGCCGCGCTCAGGTCACTCAAAGACTGGAACTGGCGCTCATTTTGGTAAACATCCATCGCCATGATGCCCCATAGGCTTTTAATGCGGTTGAGGTATGGGCTAAGCGCTGACCACGGCTACAGGCCAATATTCTGTTCTTGGAACCACTAATTTGGTGGCTTTTAAGTGTGAATCGAAGCATTGCCTTGCTTAAAAACATATGATCTTTAATTTTTCTCATCGGCAAAAGGGAGAAGATAGTGAAATAGCGTGTGCTTGTATACCTCGGAATCTTGTCACCATCGTAAAATAGCTGGAGTTGATTTATCTTCCGGCTGAACGCCCCCCACACCATTACCCAACCAACACCAGATTGCCGCTTGGAAAAAATTCAGGCTCATGGTCAAGGTTGTGCCAATCGCAATGCCATCCATCTGGACCATCATGACTGAACTTCTTTTCATCACTGAAGACAATCCTTTACCGATAAGCACATTTTTTCAGCTAGTTTTAGTAGGTTGATAATATATTTTTGCTTGAGCGTAGAAGCATTTTTCCGCTTCATGTACTTGAATTTCTTCGAGTTATGCAATATTTGACGGATGCGTTGTGCTGTCACATCAACTCCAGTGGCCAATCTTATAGAGGTAGAGGTAGAGCCAGCTTTAGAAGCCTCTGAAAACAGTCACCTAAGATCCCTGTCGGTTAATTTCGAGGTTGGTCCAGGGTGCATTTTCGATCCGTAGCCGTCCGAATTTGCAAAAAATGATTATACAACGGGTTTTTACTGTTTTATCTCCTTTGCGATGTCCCGTTGGCTTCTACCACATTTCGCAAAGGGTAAAATCTGCGCCTTCTCGGCCTCTGTGAGTCTTGTCTCATTTGGCATCTTTTTTACTTCGAAAACATATAAATGAGGAAACTGAACTACACCAGAAGTACCATAAATGGTGAAAATAAGGACATTCATGTTGCTGTACTTTTTAACGTAAAAATATTACAGAAAAATACTAAAATCAAGAAAAACCCATCACGGTCTTAAAACCATTTCCACCTAGGTTTTTCTAAATTTCTTCATTTCTCCTCATATATTTAAAAAATAATAATTTTTTTCGTATAGCGTCGGAACCGTTTTTAAACGTAGTTTAGCCTCGTATAATTAGAATCCAGTATTTTTTCATGCAAGAAAAAATATTCAGAAAAAACCGGGTGATCGTATACCTAGCCGTTTCCGCCACTCTTTATTATAAAGGTTAACGTTTTCTTTCTGGTTTAGAAAGTTAATGTGTAACTCGATGGTGAAAATTGACAACAATTTTACAAGATACAAAACCGTTTAAGACATTGGAAAAATTTTATTATTTAGTAATGCAAAGAAGAAAAAATATTTCGGAGGAACTTACCGTCACAGTGAAAAATGTCATTAAGTATATAATGCTATTTTTAAACGAATTATCAGACACATATTTTACAAACGAGCATGACATGATAAGAATTGAATCTTTGCTCACCGAGAACAGGCTGGGGTAGACATGGTATGGAGAAAAGCTGTATGATCGCACGGTTAGAGTGTCATTGGAGGCATGGTGGACCAGCACTCTTGGAAGAGGCACTCTAGCTTGTCCAGCCTCGGCCATCACGGGCCTGGTATCATCCATAGCATCCACAGAGTAGCGCTCGCTCACTGCACCTTCAGGGCACGGCTGTATCACGTCTTGGTGTGTCTCTAACCGCGTCTCCATGGCACAGTTGGAAAAATTCGAGCTGATGATAGACGAAGCGACGGTCGCTGGCGCAGGGTGTGCCTGAGAGCCCGGATGAGGATGTATCGATATTTGGTGGTGCTGCTCTAGAGGCATGTATTTCGTGTGCATGGGGTCGAGGTCGCCGTAGACCTGAGTGTTATATTGCGAACCTGAGCTGCTTTCGTGACTGCAGTGCTCGGGCTCTGGACATGGGAAACGGATAACAGCAGGGGCGTCTGCTTCTGAGGATGTGTGGGAATTTACTTTGCACGGCTTAGAGTGGACAATTTGGGATGATTTCTTCCTGGAAACGAGCTTGCTGGGGGCGGCAGGCTGCGATTCTTCCTGCCAAAACATCACATCAATGTCAGTCATCTTACGGTGAGGGCGTAGGGAAGAAAGCAGTAGAGAAGAAATATTTAACAAGTTAAGTACTTTTAGCAATTCGTCTGAAATGAATCATTGATCAGTAAAAAATTCTCGGATAACATCTTACCTTACGAACCAAGAGCATGGTCAGTATACGGTCATCAGACAGCAGCTTGCACAAGCTGTTATCAGGGAAGATGCTTTTCAATAAATCAGGCAAGGCTGCCACCGCGGCATCAGTTAAACCGAACTCATGGGCGAACTTGCTTAGACGAAGTTCCACGGTTTTAGCCAAGAAAATTTCTCGCATCTGTAAAATTATTAATAAATTCTGGTAGAGAAAACACTCGATCATGATCTTCAACATCTAATAATTCTTTAAATACTGATTAGAATTACCGGCAATCTGAGGTGGATTGAGGATGAAATTTATTGCTGCTGTCACGGAAGAAGGTTCGCCAACATTTTTATTTGGGATAATGTATTTAACTTATATATATCATACGTGAGTTCATACTAATTGCAGAAGGAGCTCTTGTGTTTTATAAACCTTGGCTTAGTTATGGTTTAGTATGCAGAAGGTCTCAATCATTTCATGAATAACTCAAGTAATCTCACTTTAGTGTATTATTGGAAGTAGCAATAGAAGCAAACTTTTTGTAGTTGTAATCACGAGCTTGGCGAGAACTTGTTGCCATTAAGCAATATTTTTATGCATTTATTACTCTTCACTACAATACTTTTATACATCGTTATTATATTCATGTAAAATGTAATGCACACAACTTGTTAGTCTCCAGCATCACGTTGTTCAGACAAACAGTAATGCACCACACCTTCAATGTTTCTATCATCACATACGGTAGTTCAGGCAAACAATGATGCACCACACGTTCAATGTTTCTAGCATCACATACGGTAGTTCAGGCAAACAATAATGCACCACACCTTCAATGTTTCTATCATCACATACGGTAGTTCAGGCAAACAGTAATGCACCACACCTTCAATGTTTCTATCATCACATACGGTAGTTCAGACAAACAGTAATGTAACACACTTTCAATGTTTCTATCATCACGTAGTTCAGACAAACAGTAATGCACCACACCTTCAATGTTTCTATCATCACATACGGTAGTTAAGACAAACAATAATGTATCACACCTTCAATGTTTCTATCATCCTCTTCTTATGGTACGGTGTCTCAGCATGGCGCTTGAGGTGTGTCATGCCTCCTCTCAAGCACTTGGCACAGGCGATGCAATAAGCCATGCTTGGGTCGCCAGGCGCCGGCGACAACCAGCCAACAAATTCTTTGCTCTTCTCCCAATTCTTTTTGTACTTTTGACGGTACCACCGACAGCTACGACGCGGATCTTTTCCATCCTCGTCAGGGTTGTATTTTGCGTCGTCGCAATTGGGTGATGTGGCCTCCATCTTTAATGAACTAGCAGTACCCCCACCAGAGTTCATCTCAATCCCCGACTGAGCGCCAGGCCGACACGACTTCTTGGGTTTCATCAGTCGTCTTTTCCGTTTTGAGCTGAATTTCGATTTCAAAAACAATTAATTTATACATATTACTTACTAATAAGTAATATGCTACCTTGTATAGATGAAAAAAATGATGTGTACAATATAATTTCATTTAAAATTTAAATGGAGCTCATTCAAGCAAACATTGTCAGTCAAATTTGATAAAAAGTGGAATACATCAGGCAACTATGTAACAGTAAGAGATCCAGAATGTCTATGCTGAACTGATGATGACGACGTGTTGATAATCTCACATATTGATAACAAATCGGAAAATATTAAACGGCTTTTGAGCAGAGTTTGTAAATATAAAGAAAAATTTATACACTGATATGCTTACCTTGAAATAATTTTCTCTTTCTTTGAAGAATGAGGACTGTGACTGCTGCACTCCATTTCTGTCTGATAATAAAACTTTCGATAATAAGGGAAAAGTGAGCAGAAGGATGAGGGTTCTTATACATGACAAAGACACTGCTTTCATGAAACAAAAATTTTAAACATCTATTACTAACATCACTGCATTAGAATTTGTTTTGTGCAAAACAGCCCGTATCAATAAAGTCAAGCAAAGGCTCAAATTTATCAATGGCATTTCACACTCACAAATTTGAACATACATATTGAAAATTCAATAAGACTATGCTCTGTAACAAAGTGTTTTAAAAAACTTTCAATCAATCAAGTACCAGGATATTTTTAATAATATTTAATTTGATAGCCATGTAATCTTTTACATACTTAAGACATCAGAGAGGCAACCAGACTCACGTTTGCATTTGAATAAGAGATGGAGGTATCGGGATTAACAGTTGAGTGAATATACATGGGGTCTTGCCCTTGTATGGTGACAGTTATATGGCCTGCATGGTGGTCGGTCTCGAGATTATGAATGCTTGAGCAGTCAGCATGGTGGCTGCCCACAGTTACTTCACATGATGAGCCAACATTGTTGAGCTGAAAAAGAAAGATCCTTACAATTTTTTTAACCATAATTTCATAATTTAATGCTTAAGTCAAATTATAAAGAATTGTAATGATCAATTTAAATGACAATAATAGCTAGAAACAAACAATAATACTGGGAATAATAAAAATTTGAAACAATTTGAAAGACGAGGTCACTCACTTCTACAAGGTATGCATCATCTGCCAGCTTATGAGCATCAGTAAAGTTGGTGGTGAACAGTTCAGGATGAGCAGTATTTTTATCTTCTTCTCTAATGGCAACTTGTAAATTATGAGGAATGTGGACAGCTTGCCATTGTTGAGCATCACTGCAGTGAGTATTTTCAAATCCAGGTGCCACATGAGATGCTACAACATTTGGTAATGATATTGTAGATTCTAAAAATGATGATTGATGCATAGATGTTTTTAAACCAGTTTTCAAGTTGACTTCAGTTTGAAAATCCGCAACTTCAGTTGGTCTTGATTGTTCAGATTCAATGTGCGGCACATCTGCAACCTCATGCAACTTGTCCCCTTCAAACTTTACCTCAATAAATTGCTTTGAAAGTGGAAGAGTTTGCAGAGCACCGGAATTAAAAGAAGAAACTCCATTTGAGATATCACTGGTTGATGACTTAGGTTTTTTAAATTTGTTTTTAACAGTTTTCTGAAATTTTTGATTGTTAAACTGCTGGGAGCCCTCATTTTCACAGGCAATTGAATTCTCATAATTCAACTGATTCCTTTTATGGAAGGATGAGCTGGCATGTCTCTTTAGATGACTAAGTCCCCCTTCAATTTTCCGTAAACAAATTTTGCAGAATGGAAAATCAGGATTGATGGGACTTCGAGTTAACCAATCACTGAATTCACCTGATATCCATGACTCTCTGAATTTCTGCTTGTACATTTTGGGAGACTTGCTGCATTTTAAATTTAATATATCTTCTTCCATTATATTAATAATTAATTTCTATATAAGTTGCAAGTAGCTGCCTGTTACTGGGTAAAAAAAGAAAACACATATGTTACTAGCTCTTCAGTATCAACTTAAAGTAATTAAGTATTGTAAATAGTAGTTTGAAAATTAAAAAAAAAAATCTTATTTATAGTAGAACTATCAAGATGAAGATCACAGTAAAATTTTCACTGCTTCAGACCTTTCAAACATTATCAAAGAGATGTAAAATCCATTCAAATGAGGGGTCCAGCTATCATTGGTCAGTTGATGTCAGGCCACTGGCCCACTGCTTGATGATGACGCTGGTGGGTTCCTCCAGCAGTGATACATGGTACTGTATTCTTCTTGTCTTATCACGATAATGGGAACTGTTTGTCATGACTTGACTTACCATTAACCAGCACAATGCAAGTGATGGTCTGGTTATGAAGATGAACTTGTCTCATGTGGTTCACTTGCCCTCTAGTTTGTAAGTAGCTAATGAGACAATGGTTCAGTGTCCTGGTTATTATTCTAATTTATCTAATGTAGTCTAAATCATGAAGAGGTCTACAACCTTCTTTGATGCAAAATTTATAGAGTACACCTGCCTTTTGGATAACTCCCGCATTTTTGCAGGGGCCACTGTTGCGTTTAGTTTGATTGATGTTTGACATTGTTGTTAACTCCAACGCCTGCATGGCCAAGGAGCAGGCGGTCCACCGCACACTGCATTCTCCGAGTCTCCAACTGAGGCAACTAGTCAGTAGTCACTAGTCAATGTAACTCGCTGTAGTCGCTGAAGACTGAAGTCAACTTAAAATGAATTTTTTTTTTTTTTTAGTTATTCTTATAGGAGCACTGGAGACTAGTCCATATAGCCCCTTGCCTAAACTGGGTTTAATTGGTACCTAACAGTCTAACACCTCTGAAAGTGAAAATCTGGAACAGAGAGAGAACACACACACACGAAAAAAAGAAGAAAAAGAAAAAAAAAATTTAACTGACAAATAATAAGGATAAAATAGGTAAAATTAATGAAATTACTGTTAAGTTTATTTAACGAAAAAAAAAAAAACAAATTACAGGGAATGCTGAAGTTATGAATGTAGATTAATGTTATGAAAAGTTAAGTAGAGTAATGAAAAAATAAGTAAATAAATAAACAATGCACCGGCATCGTTTAGATAAATAAGGAGCTTCTAGCCTCAAGCTTTTGCTCCACACACCTATCAATAATTACAATATCAAATATTCAACTATATTTATGTGATTTTCACAGTCGGGCACAGAGCACAGTAACTTACGTCCGTCTCGGGCCGAAGTTTTTTCCACATTCCCTTAAAATGAATAATCTTAACAGTATTTGCGTAACGTTGTTTGTTTACCAGCGTCCGGATCCGGATTAGCGCTTGTTGTATTCATGGGTTGTTCAAATCCGAAATTTTAATTATTAGATAATCAGTCAAATTTTTTTACTCGAGAACTAGAGATTTAAATCCACGCAAGATCCATGGCTATGAATTGAGACTTCTATTCATAGATGAATTATCCAATTTAACATACTAATCATATACAACAGTGTCGACTTATTAAAATTGATGAGCTAATGGCGATAGCGGTATAATTGAGATTATTGGCAACATGGTTGAACTATCAATCTACTACTACCAATGCTAGTTCAATCATGAGTGGCAACGCGAATGCTAACACCAATACAATAAACGAACTACACCAACAATTTGTAAATGAAACAATTAGTGGTGAAGGATGCAAGGTCCTGGTCACGCCATTTAAAGTACGTAGACATTGTTATGATTTTATATACCTTCTTCTCCTTTTCTAGGTATCCACGCTGAGTGGACTAGTATAAGGCTGAACTAGTATAAGGTTGGCCCATGAGAAGCTCATTTAACGGATGTAGTTCGTTGTTCGCATATGACCATGGATATAACCCACTTGCACATATGTTACAGCGTAGCATGCGTGGGCGCAATTCAAGAAGATACCGGCTGTCGCCGAATCTTTTCTTCTACCTGCGGAGAAGTGGCTTCAGGCTAGATCAATCACAACACTTGTGATGAGAATTAATTGTTCCTATACCGTCAAGACATGCAACCAAGATAATTCTGGGCTTGAAAGTAAAGTCTTACGAAGAAAGATTTTAAAAAATGAAGCTTTCAAGCTCTGTTTTCGACGTCGAGTGGTGAACTCATTGAAGTATATAAGTATACTCATGATTTATGCCAAGTCCCATAAGGATTACAAAAATTTGAAACAAGAACAACACCAGAGGCCACGGCTATAAACTAAAAATCAGTTCTCACTGCAGTAAGCGACAGAGACTTTTTTTCGTGCATAAATCAGTTTTCTTTGCGATTAGTACAGTGCTATTATTACAATCGACGAAAACGTGAAGTCACGGACGGACGGACATGACGAGCACAATAGGGCTTTTTTACATAAATGAGAAAATGCGCTAAAAACTGCGTTGCAACTTATTCATGCGACATTTCTTCTCGCTTCGAGTCATCAACATGAGGCACAGCCTACCAGATTACATCGTTGACGCTCCGACTATGAATGCTTTCATGAACAGACTAGAAAAAGCTATGGAGAAATATGTGTTCGGATTTGAAATACCTAGCACCATATCCTACCTGGTGGAAGTATAGTAGCTATTTCAAACTATCGTTCGTTTTGGGAAGATCCGGTCAAAGGACCTGTTTTTCTGGGTCCTGCAGACAATTCACGAAAAGTACAAGAATCGACGGCAGGCCACAACAGGCTTATTCTTCAGGCCGACATCACCATGCTATATTTTGGAGAGACACCTCTCCAAGTCTGCCTTATAGGTGGTTCCATAGATCGATGTAGCACATCAGTTACCTACAACCGTATATCCTTGTTGATTACTAATGACAATCGGAAATTTATGTCAAACCATTGTGAATTCAGTGTGCATGAAAATGATAACATTGATTATAAATATCAATATATTTACAATAAATTTACAGCAGCTATTCTAGCGTGGTTCGAATTGCACTAACTCTAAAACGAACGAGAATACCGGCTTAGCAAAACGCTCGTCAGACGAGCAAAATTTTTTACACTGCACAAATTAATGGGTATCCATTAGGTACCAAACCAAGATAAAGCGTTGAGCAAACCCACTTATTCTGTGAAGCAATCAGTCTTCATTCCAACTTGTTATTAAACTGCATTTTTTCAAACTTGTCATTAGACTGATTGCAATTGCTCTATACATCAATGCAGAAGTGTTAAGAACTGCCCGAACAGGTCTTCGCGCGAAAGATCGAACATTATGTTCATTTGGCAATGTGCATACTTTAGACAATAGCGAAAACTATTACTTTATAAAGACAACAGAGAGGCAGCAGTGGACTCAATAAAAATAATACAATGCGCAGACCGAACCTGGCTTGTAATTAACACCGATGGTGATAATTACATTCAAAAGTGATACCTTGATCAGAAGAAGCAGGGCGAGTTTCACGTTATAACGAAGATGTAATATAGGATTGAAGAAATAGCTCAGTGTACGTATGGAGGACAAGCAACCTTGAGAGAATGTATTACAGTTCGTTCAATGTAACTTTTAAATGTTCGTGCAACTTTAATATGCGAAAGTCAACACAAGAAACAAAAGTAACTTTCTGCAACTGTCCGCGTAAAAAACATGATCAGAAAATGCGATTAGCATTCGCCCTACAGCATTTATTTAAACTTCGAACTATAGTGAACGTTCGGCATAATCGAGATTAGTAGAGAATTTTGTCAAATAAATAGATTACTAACACAATCCGTTCATTCTATAACTACAGCGTCCAAATGTCAACAGAAACTAACCCATGAATGTTGTTATGAGTGAACACGCTGCACTGTGGAGAGAGAGTATCAGATTATGATTACAAATAAGAATGCTCCTACATTAAATCTGCAAAATGCCAATGTTGTCCAACTAGATCTAATCATTATCACTAAGCTTATAATAATTTCTTATGAACATCGTCTTCTAATTTTAACTAACTTGTTGAATTACTCGATACTACATTAACTGGAGATCATTGAGTTCCACTACAACTTGAGATGACCTCGCAAGGCAGAGAGCACCAACTATCCCAGTCGATGAAGCTGTACCAAGAGATTTTTAGAGGCGTCTCAACTCCACAAAAGGATGCAGTAACACCGGAAATGATATTTCATTCATTCTAGAACAGAATTTTTATTTTAATGAACCCTAATTTCCTTCTCTACATGAACAGAATTTGTCCCTTTAAATTTTTAGGAAATTGTGTATCTTCAGACATTATAGATGTTGATAAGCAACTGACGATATTTATAACGAAATAGCAACAAAACGTCAGATAAAGATTGAGACCTTTAAAAGAATACTGCAATATAGCTACACAAAAACCTCACAGAAATTGAAGAGTTAAACTATGAAGAAATTCGAAGTTTTCTTCGATTGGAAGTTTTATCATCACCATTCCGGCATTTTCAAATGTGCCATCAATATACAAGTTGATGGCACATTTATTCAAGTCTGCTCTTAAATAGAACAAAGAAATAGGCCGAACAAATCAACGTGGGACCTCAGCAAGCCACAGGATGAATAAGGAACGGTTATTTCTGATCAATACTTCTACAGAGCTCAAATTTGCCAACTAAAAATTACCAAAATACGAAAGATTGAATATTAAATTATCACTCAGAGAAAGTTTCATCTTGGCGCTTCAGATGGAATGGAAATAGAATACTTGCCACAATCTGAGGACGCAGCGATGTTTATCATTGTTAAGAGGCAAGTTCATAAGTTCGAAATAAAGTATAGAATGCGGAACGTTCATCTTAATGCGGAGATGGATGAAAATGAAAAAAGTCAATCTAATACTAAGCAAGTTAGAACTTGTGTACGAATAGCTATTTAATAACTAGTATGAATTGATAATTCAATGCAATGCGAACACTTGCCTACGATAGCTGACAACTGTCAGAGTGGTAAGCGATGTGTAGCAGGAGTTCTGCAAACGAAGTCAACGCTCGGCAGAGCAATACATCCCCATGAAATGTGGAGACGCATTAAGATAGGGAGAAATTCACTACAGCTCAATAAACAATGCAAGGCCATGGAAGTCCCTACGAGTAAAAATAATAACAAAAGTATTGCAGCAGGCAATAAATGATTAAACACTGAATAGAAGAATAAGGGAGAATAAAGTTCGATAACAAAATGTGAAAACAAACATTAGCAGAGAAAGATCCCTTCAAATATGGAAGGGATCAATTACAATGGACACGCATACCGATGTAAAAAAAGGCTAGGAAATGCAAACTTCAACGCAATGAGAGAAATAAAGCGCTTCTCGGTCATGACCTGACGATAATCCCAGCTAAAAATGGGATAACTTAATGTATAAGGCAAGCCATCATTAGAAGCGGCAACCTCTCGACCGATGTATCAACCGGCAGAAGGTTCCACACAGACCGCCAATATTGAGCGCAGAAAAAGTACAAAGAATAACACTGAATTAACGGAATACTAGGACCAGGTCAGGAAGAAGTCAGCAGAATAACGCCAAGATCTGTGAACTAGTGTCTCGGACGCCCTAAGAGGCGTGGCTAGAAGAGGTATACACTTTTCGAGAAATAGAGGAGTTCTGAGGACAGCTCAAGGCTGGAAGTCGGTCAGGAGTGTCGTTCTCCGCTTCTCCACGATGTCCATTTGGTTCTCCAAGTCGCCGCGATCAGTCATCTCAGCTCGTTCGATTTTCCAGGATAAATTCTCGATCTCGGCCTCCAATTGAGCTTGTTGGTACTCAAACTGTGGAGAAGAAGACACGTTACTGTCCATGTTTCATCACAAAAATACACACTAATTTTCAGATGGCTGATATTTTGATCAATGTTTGAAAATCAATCGAATCGAAACAAGGCGATGAAAGCCGCAAACAGAAACCCAAACAGAATTTTTTAGGCATAAATTATTACTATTTTTTTCTAGAAAGAATGTTTTTCTAGCTTCACGCGCGATGTAGGACCGGGTCAAGAAAACGAGTCTTTTTCGGTTGCTGAACAAATCTACCGTAGGGATTGTACTTTTAGTTTTGCCGCAGTTGGCCAGTTTTAGGAGCATCCGTCCGTTAACTGCGATAATAGGCAATCAGCAAGCTTTTATCAAGATAGTAGAACGTTGGCAACGTCAGTGACACGGACGGGTTGTAGTGGGCAACTTTTGGCCGCGCTTTTGCTTTTGAGCCGCCGATCTTCTCCGAGCAGTACTATGGACAACGAGTGTTAGAATCTTTTCTTGGGAAGTAGCTGGAGGCTAATCGACAGCAAGAATCAATACAACCGTCATTATTAGCTGATCCTGACAGCTCACAAAATTTGCCGTCATTATGAATGTACGGTATTCTGTTTTGCAAAAATTTACTGACATTCTGTCCATTGCCTGTAGTATCAAACCTTAGCGCTGTCACAGTGCCTCCATTCCTGTTCAATTTCAAGCATTTAACGTGAACTCCTCGCGAGAGTACTTTAATTTGCGGAGTATATTGAAATGTACGTTGTGAACCATTACTAACTAACATTTGTTTTCGTGCTATAGGGCTATAATAGGGCCAGCGGGTCGTAACCATGTATAAATGTATCGCAATTGTAATGCTACAAAGGGAGTGCCTGACACATAGGTACACAAAGGAGTGACAAACATGCATGATGGAGCAGGGAGAGAACACACCCAGAGCTCTACCATGACCCTCCATCTAATAACTATGCTGACCAGATCTTTTCTAGGCCCCGGCGCCAGGAAGTAGGCGAAGGGGTAGGTGTTCTGCAGGGTGTAGCGACAGCGTGCGAGCAACGTGGCCGCGTCCAGCAGATACTGCCAGTCTATCCACGTGCCCGTGCCCGCCATCACCTTCGCGTGGATGCGCGTCCTGATCGCGTTCAGCGTCTGGCACTCTAGCTTCAGGGACTTGCTGTGGTTCTCCCACTACAACAATGAAAATGTTCAACTGTAACAATCTCTATAGGAGTGAAAATAATTTAGTACAAAAATGCGCATTAGAGCTATTGTAATGGAACACTCGTGTTAATGGGAATCCTGGAAATGGTTGCATTCATCCTGTTAACAGTGAAGATATTTCTCACTCGTTCAATTTGTGTATTAATTTTTCGCTAGCCATTAATCTTATGTGTGACGTGCCCTCGAAGTTCGTTTGAACAAGACGCCAAGATAAATGCTTCGTAGAATAATAATAATCATATAAATATTTGCATACCCTCTCTCATAACAGTAATCATATTTTCAACTCATATTATTGAGAATCGTGTAAATGGAAATCATATAAACGATAGCTTATCCTTTCGCAATAGTGAAGATATTTGAAACTTCTGTAAATGGGAATCACGTTAATAGTTGCCTACCCTCTCATAATAGTGAAGATATTTCTTGAGCGCCTCCCTGGCCTGCGCATGCACAGATTCATGAGCAATGTTGGGGTTCTCCTTGTAGCGCGAGCACTCGTAATACTCAGAGCCATGGCTGCGCCAGCAGCCCAGGCACATCCAGCAGAACTCGTGCTTGCAGTTGTAGCATTGCATGTGGTTGCAGCCACCATTCTTCTCGATGCATATGTGGCACTTGGGACACTGCAAACACAGATAAGGTACTCAGAGCACAGCAAACAGATGATGCTATGAGAACACAGCAAGCAGATTATGAACAAAGAGCACAACAAACAGATGATGCTATGAGAACACAGCAAGCAGATTATGAACAAAGAGCACAGCAAACAGATGATGCTACGAGAACACAGCAAGCAGATTATGAACAAAGAGCACAGCAAACAGATGATGCTATGAGAACACAGCAGTGTCTACTACGTCCAAATTTATACACGTAATAATATACTTGCAATTTGAATTTTAGTAAAATTGGAATATTATAGCACTCCTCATGAGTGAAATGTTAAAAGTTATTGAAGAATGTATTTTTTTCCAAGAAGGGCACTAATCTTGTAGGTAGTAATTAGGCAGAATCAGAGTTGTTGCAGTTTCATCAAGTGCCCAAGACAACACATATTTAATCAAAGCTTACATCCTTGGTGTGTGCGCTGATGTAGTTGGCAGTCTCGCTGTCGTCGGCACACTTGGTGAGCCAGCGCCTGATGGTTTCGCAGCTTGTTGGTAGATGATAGTCACAACCACAGGCAAAGCTGTACAAGTAAAACCCCAAATTCATTATAAATTATCAATAAAAATATCAACACTGATGCATCTTCATATGAATAGCATAGTCCCACATTATTTCACTCAAAGTTTTTGATTTAACAGTAGCTTCGGAATAATTAAGGCCTAGCATTCATTTTTTTAGAAATCCTACAACAAATGCTGAAGAAATTACGTAATTTGCAAAAAAATGCTAACAAACATTCTCAGAATAAGCCGCAATATAGCAAGTCAGATTTGGCAGCTCACCAGAACTGCGTATTGCAGGCTTCACAAATGACTCTCTTGGGTTTATTATCCTTCGCTCGCACGACGATCGTACAGTTGGGGCCTGGGCAGAAGCGCAGCTCAGGGTGTGACCGCACGTAGTCAGCAAACGCGAACTGGTGATACTTCTCCCGCACGCGCGTACGAGGCAACAGCGGCACAACGAAGTCCTCGGGGGCCAGAACCTCACAGTGGCTCGACATGCATTCAATTCCTGCAAATTATCAACATTATTACTTCTGCAGAGTAATTCAACATTTCTAGAGTAGTAACGGCGGAATAACATATTATGGGCTTGGCCTGCAAGTAAAAATATACAGTATGAGCAGTATGACCATACGAACAAAATAAAAATTAGATTAATTCAAATTAAATAGGAATGGCCTAAAACATTGAGTACAGAACCAAGATTGCAATAGTTACAGTAGTGCTCCTTACTTGTGGTGATGCCTTGGGTGATTTCCACATCAAAGTACGTAGACCAACATGAGTTGCAGAAGCGATGACAACATGACAGTTGACTGCTCTCAGAAGGCTTCATGGCACAGAGGCACACAGGGCAGCAGCATTCCTTCACGTCACTTTCTTGCTGAATGATAGCATTGCTCCCACAAACTACGTCCCTACTACTGCACTCAGATTTAGAAGAGCTACTGCAAAGCGTGACACAGTCGCCTGCTTTTTCCATTGAAGTGCTGCTCATTAAGCCTACATTACTAGGAAACGGAGTATTTGTTGTGGACCGATTTGAGGTATTTGTTGCAGAAACGAGATTGGCGGACACCATGGACGTATTATTGTTATTGGCCGGCATAGAAGGCTTTACTTGGCACTGAATGAGCAGGCGGTGAGCATCAGCACGATAGGATGAAACTATTTCTGATAAATTCCATTGACACATAAGCAGCAAAACTTTGGCCAGGGAAGGAGTCACCTGAAAAGAACAGCAGCTTCATTCACCAGTATAGAATACCATGGAGAATAAAGATTAATTTCTTCACCGACAAAAGAAAACCTCACAAGTTACACAAGAATGTAGTTGAAAATCATAAAAAATACTTGCTAGTTGCCAAATTTGAGCAATTGGATACTATAGAATTCATTAGCTGAAATTATTAGTGTATAAAATTATTAGTGTATAAAAAACAATAGGAGCTGGCAAAGTGCAAACACACACACACCTGAATGCTGGTAGAAAGCTCTTCAACCCTCTCATTTATGAACCTCTCGACTTCAGTGTCAGTGAGGCACTGAAACTCAAAATATTCTGGATCCTGTAAAGTTTTGTCTAGCGTCTCCACATCTGGGTCGTGGCCGTCACTGTAGTAGTCGTTGTAGTAATCCTCATCTCCACTGCCTCCCATGTCATCATCAGACATCTGCAAAATAATTAGGTCATTTTAGGATAATCCTTGTGAATATATACCTATGAATAAAAGGAAGTCAAAAAATGGAAAAATGTGCACATGTGTAGAAACAAATAAAGCAGTTGAGATAGCACCTAAATTACAGTCTCACTACAATGGTCGAGAAAAGAAAAAGCTAAGTTGGATGAACTGGAATTTAGTAAACTTTTGCCTGTCATGTTCAGCGCTACATTAAATTTATCAAGGACTTTTTTCCATTTGTAAGTGGTCCCAAACTCATGATCCAATGGGGTGCAATTTACTGCATGATAATCTTAACTGAACATGAGGTGACATTACCTAGATGCCCTCAAAGGGTCAACCTTTCCATGTTATATAAACACAATTACTGTCGTTATGAATAAAATAAGTGATCAGAAAAAAGGGTGCAGAGATCAGATCTCAGTCAATAATAAAAATGACTCCTGAAAAAAGGTTTTCAGAAAAAATTGCTGGTGCAGTTGAGTTCAAAGCTGCCTGATTAGCTTAGAATGGAATGATAAATTAAAAAAAATCCAGATCACCAAGTCAATACCATGCAATAGGACAGGTCAACAAAATCTTTTCATGAAATATGTACTAACAGTTTTATTGTAATGGCCAGGTGAAGCAAAACAGAGCAAAATGCTTTTGAAATTTTTGGCTGAATTGGAAAGCTTTTTAGAGAACAACTGATATAAAACATCAGTTTTACAAATATTTGTTAGTATTTTTCCTTAATAACAATTTGTTTACATACAAAAGCTATAAAAGAAATGCATTATAATGTTTTGGTTGAAACTTATTCAATTACAAATAAAAATATTAAATATCAATAATTTGATGCTGCTGTAACTGCAACCTATTTTGAAAAGAATAACTATGGTTCATCATTATATACCTATACCGGTATGCCTTCAAAATGACAAAACAAAGAACTATAGTTCATCATTAGATACCTATATGCCTTCAAAATGCCAAACTCAAGATGAACTTTTTTGCTAACATACTAACACATGATTCTAAAATTTAATTTTTTCCAAACACAAATGTCGCCATGTCGGATATAAAATTTTTCAGCAATTTTAAATCCAACATTAAAATCACTGAATTGGAATATTCATACAGTCTTGTACATTTGGGGAATTTCAGTCAAGGGACTATATAGGGGGATTTCACCATGGATCTTGAAGGTAAGGGAATTTTACCGCGATCATGAAGACCAAGAGCTTTCAGTTACGCAAAGAACAGCTAAATAAAGTTGAGCATTAACCATGATAACAATATTTGCAAAAACAACATACCCAATAACTATTGTTAGAGCTAGAAATACAACTTGGCTGGTGTGGAATACGTCAACTAGCAGCAGCTATAGGGACGGCCATAATTAGAATATATAACCACAACCAATTGTGCTGCCTTTTCAACCATGAGTCATCTTGAGTAAAGGCAAGACATCAATTATGAAGACAGTGAGGACCATGTGGGCTTCATACATGGCTTCAGCCACAAAAGAGCTTTATTAAAGACTAGGCTGTTTGGTATAAACATGACCGCAGAGGTAAAAATCTCCCACTATCAGGCATTGTACAACAGACCAACATTGTTTAGCAATTTAATGCTCATTTTCTGAACAAGCAAATTTGGCAAAATAAGGATGTGCACTCACTTTCCTACTACAATTTCAAATACAAAATGTAGAATTTCATTCCAAATCTCTTTGGACTTTCATCTTTGTCCAAATATCTTTGTCCTCTTTCATCCAAATATCATACAAAAACTTGTCAAAAATCACCCTTGCTGATAGAGTTCAACTAAGACACTAAGCATAGTCATGCACACACAGGACTCAAAATCATTGCATTGGCACAAATAATAGAAATTTAATGAACTGACTTAGAAAATATTTGTATTGTTTTACTGATGTTGCATGCAGGACGACAGACATAAATCAGGTATGTTGAATAGAAAGACCATTGTGTATTTCAAAGTGAACAATTTGTGTTTAATAATTAAAGTAATTAATAAAAGAAGTCTCGGTATTTTTCCCTAAGAAGTCTTGGTATTTTTTCCTAACAAATTCAAGAAGAACCTCATATATATTATTCCTGGTAGTTCAAATACTTTGTGTGTATGAAAGTACGGAAAATAAAAATGCATTGTCACTTTCATAGTGAAAATGTACCCTTAATCAGGCCTCAAACGTTATAATAAGGGACAGTTGGGGTAAATTGTGACAGTCCTCCATCAAGACGTAAAAATGTTAAAGCAGCAAAACTAATTTAAACATTGCAAAACTAAAAATAGTGGCATAAACTTCAACATTTTTCTTACCAATGTAGCATAAAAGAAATTAAGAAATCTTAGATTTACAAGCTCTAAAAAGTCCCTGAAAAAATGTTGAAAAGTTATATTTTGAAAAAGCACTTCTGTTGAGGTCTGTAGCAAAAAAAAATTAGCCACATTAAAAAATTTTGCTGGAAAGTATTACTTCCAGTCCAGTATTACTTTTTATAAGTCTAATTTTAATTGTCGAGTCAAAGGTGCAGGCATGCATCTTCCAAGTGAAAAGTGATTACTTTATAGAAACTGAGCAAGTTAGCATACGTGTTTTAAGCCTAAAAGTTTATTTTTTTACTTCAAATAATGTTGTATAAAAAACTGGTCTTGGTGGATCGGTATAATATATGAACCGTCAATTTTAGAATTCCATCCTGATTTAGGGGTAACACAGGACTTGTAAAATACAGGACTTTTAAAAGATTTGCGGTTGCTGGCTTGTAAATGGCTTTTAATGGCCGAGGTATAGAATTCACGGCTCAGAAAAATTAAATCACAGCTCAAAGAAATGGAATCACGGCTGGCAAATCCATAAAACCACAGCTTGAAAAATTCAGTTGCGGTTTGCCAAGTTCCCAAAATCCCAAGTATAGATAGGCCTATACCTATTAGGGTAAACGCGGTATATTCCGACACATTAAGGACGCATCGAGAAATTAAAAAATATAAAAAAATAACTGTATGCGTTACTCGAGTTCTGTTTGCTCTATGTGACTCACAAAACACCGTACTACGCGCCAGCAACAATGAAACATCACAAAATGTTACCATATTTATTTAAAAGCCTTTAGAATGCAAACCTACCAAATCCCTATATTCCGACACTGTGTGTGGCAATATTGGGCACGTGGTGAGGCGTATTCCGTCCACGCTTCAAATTCTACTGATACGTAATGCCGTCATCCACGTGTTTGAATTCCGTTCGCTGTGTGAGCTGTATTGGAATACAACAGGGCTTTGAATTAGAACACTAATGAATATTGAACACTACTTAATTACGCTTTTAATTAACAACTATTAAGCTTTTAATTAAGCAAATTTTAATTTTTGTACATTGCTTGGAACGATCTGTGTGTGTCCAATTCAAGTTGTGACAGAATTAGTTTTCATGTGTCTAAATCCATTTCTCAACTTAATCATCTATTAATTTATTTACCACTTGAAATAAAGTGGTAAATAATTATACTTAAAGCCTTTAAGTTAAAAGGATTCCTAATATATTCACAGACGTATTTAAAAGTCTCAAACCATAATATTCTTCCTATACAAACAGTTATTCACTATTTGGTAGAGCAAGGTCAACTGTCAAATTTGACACATTTTTCGATTATCTCACTGGGTAGTGTGCATTGTCTCTCTATGGATCTCAATATTTTCCCGCTAGATGGCCAATACCTAGTGTTTTGGCAGTAGTTCGACGCACAAATGTATGACGTCACCATTTCAACCATCAACGAACGCATGGAACTAAAACAAAGCTTAATATAAAGGAAAAACTAGAGAGGTGACGGAATTACCCACGATGTTGGAATATACCGCGTTTACCCTACCTATTCCATCATAGTGGCAAACCAGTGACTTTTTAGAATCAGTTCATTTTTAATTTCCTCATTTACACAAGATTTTAACAGATTTCTTATGTATGATAATTCTGGTATCCAAGATAGGGTAAACGCGGTATATTCCGACATCGTAGGTAATTCCGTCACCTCTCCAGCTTTTCCTTTATATTAAGCTTTGTTTTAGTTCCATGCGTTCATTGATGGTTGAATTGATGACGTCATACATTTGCGTGTCGAAATACTGCAAAAACACTAGGTCTTGGCCATCTAGTGGGAAAATATTGAGATCCAAAGAGAGACAATGCATGCCAAGTGGTGAGATCATCGAAAAATGTGTCAAATTTGACAGTTGACATGGCTCTACCAAATAGTGAATAACTGTTTTTATAGGAAGAATATTATGGTTTGAGACTTTTAAATACGTCTGTGAATATATTAGGAATCCTTTAAGTATACTTGTATTCGCTGATTTCAAGTCGTAAATAAATTAATAGATGATTAAGTTGAGATGTTGGATTTCGACACATGAAAACTAATTCCAACACAACTTGAATTGGACACACACAGATCGTTCAAAGCTTTGTACAAAAATTAAAATTTGCTTAATTAAAAGCCTAATAGCTGTTAATTAAAACGTAATTAAGTAGTGTTCAATATTTGTTAGTGTTCTAATTCAAAGCCGTGTTGTATCCCAATACAGCTCACACAGCAAACGGAATTTGAACACGTGGATGTCGGCAATACGTATCAGTTAAATTTGAAGCGCTGACGCAATACGACTCACAACGTGTCGGATGTTGCCACACAAAGTGACGGAATATAGGGATTTGGTAGGTTTCCATTCTAAAGGCTTTTCAATAAATATGGCAACATTTTGTGACGTTTCATTGTTGCTGACGCGCAGTGTGGAATTCTAGAGGGATATTAAATTAACCAGTACACATAGCATATTGGAAAGCAGGACCTGAAAGCTTGGAAAGGCCAGGAACTTAACACTTTCAGTCAATTATGTACATATCCTATCCCTTTCCAGAATTCCAGCTGTGACTGATTGATAAGATTGTGATTTTAGCCCCTTTCAGCTTTCCAGCGGTGATTGGTTAATGAAATTGTAATGTTATCTGCTTTCTAGCTGTGATTGGTTGATGGGGATGCTTTCAAGCTGTGATTGGTTGATGGGGATGCTTTCAAGCTGTGATTGGTTGTGTCCATAAGCCCCACCCCCATATATGGCATAGTGACAAACCGGGGTTTTTTAGAATCAGTTCATTTTTAATTTCATCATTTATATACTCAAGATTTAAACCTATTTCTTATGTATGATAATGCTGGTATCCAGGATACTACTTTACTGGTCTACTTATAGGACTCAAAAATAAACTTGAGGGAGTGTCTAAAAAACTCTCTGCTTTGCCACTATGTATATGGTATATGTGACACACAGCTACAGTACTGGTTAACTAAATACCTAACTTAAAACTTGATCATTATGAACAAAGGGACTGGAAAATTTTCTAAAAATCCAATAAATAAAATAATAAGAAATATCTATCAAACAAGAGACATCCAAATTATTCTATAACAAACCTGATGTACCATACAATTGAAACAGTTTGTCCACTTATGATCCATCTTTACATTTATAGTCAGCAACATGGCACTGATGGCAGAGCACTGTATCTAAGGAAAGCTTTTCACTTTGGGTGGAAAGCTTTTTATAAGTGAACTTCCATTCTTAGAATTCCAGCCTGCTGACGCGTAGTGAAGTGTTTTGAGAGTCATGTGAAGGCAACAGAACTTACATAACGCATACGGTTTTTTTATAGTTTTTCATTTCTCGATGCGTCCTTAATGTGTCGGAATATACCGCGTTTACCCTACTTTACTGGTCTACTTATAGGACTCAAAAATGAACTTTAGGACATAGTGGCAAAGCAGAGAGTTTTTTAGACTCTTTCTCAAGTTCATTTTTGAGCCCTATAATTAGACCAGTAAAGTATCTTGGATACCAGAATTATCATACATAAGAAATCTGTTAAAATCTGGAGTAAATGAGGAAATTAAAAATGAGCTGATTCTAAAAATTCACTGGTTTGCCACTATGCTTTAGGAAGAGTCTAAAAAACTCTCTGCTTTGTCACTATGTATTCCATTCTTGAAGCCAGGTGGCAACCGTATGGGCTGCGGGCATAGTGGCAAAGCAGAGAGTTTTTTAGACTCTCCCTCAAGTTCATTTTTGAGTCCTATATGTAGACCAGTAAAGTATCCTGGATACCTGCATTATCCTACATATGAAACTGGTTTAAATCATGAGTAAATGAGGAAATTAAAAATGAACTGATTCTAAAAATTCTGTGGTTTGTCACTATGGCTGCGGGCACAAGCAAATTTTTTTGCTGACCTTCCTCCATAGTGACAAACCAGAGATTTTTAGAATCAGTTCATTTTTAATTTCCTCATTTACTCAAGATTTTAACCAATTTCTTAAATATGATAAAGCTGGTATCCATGATACTTTACTGGTCTACTTCCAGTCTGTAGAGTATGGCACAACATAGGTCGAGGACGCCGTTTTTCTCCCCAAAAGACTCCAAGGCACCATCTAAACGGACGGTGGACGCCGATGTTTGCAGCAAACGGACGGCGAGGACGCCAAAATTGATTGCCCATGGTCTGGAAGGTGTTGCGACTTGCGTGGGCGCCGGAAGTTTACCATGCACACCACCAGTACGCCAGGCAAGAAAGTTGCCACTATGTTTGCTAGAAATACGAAAGTGCATCTCTGACCGATGCCTGATGATAGCGCGTACTTGCACGATCAATGCGGCAGTTGCAAGATGATCGACATAGACACCCGCGCTTCACAATCAATGATCAACATAGACGCCCGCGCTTTACGATCAATGCCTGACATGGATGCACGCATTTCACGATCGATGTGGCCGACGCTCACGCTTCGCGAATGATGTGGCATGATTGAAATAGATGCACGCATTTTACGATCGATGTGGCCGATGCCCAATAATCGATACTGAAGCTCTTCTCAGTGTTGGAATCGATCAGTTGGCATCGGCCACATCGATCGTAAAATGCGTGAATCCATGTCAATCATACCGCATCATTCGTAAAGTGTGAGCGTCGGCCATATCGCTCGTAAAATGCGTGCATCCGTGTCGATCATTGATCGTAAAGTTTGGGCATCTATGTCAATCATTGAGCAACAGCTGCGTCGATCGCGCAAGTGCGTGCATCATTGTCGGGCATTGGCCGAATCAGTCGCAAAGCACGTGCCTCAGTATCAATCATCAGACAACGGTCAGATATGCAATTTGGTTTTTCTAGCAAACATTCTGGCAACTTTTTTTCCTGGCATGCTGGAGTACATCCCAAAATGGGCCTCTGGTGCTCACGCCGCACCTTTCAGATCGCGGCGACCGCGACGGGACGCCGATGTAAGGTCAAGATGGCTGATGAAGATCCTCAAAAGACGCCAATGTAAGGTCGAGGTGGCTGATAAAAATTTTCAAAAGACGCCAATATCTCGAGCTAAAAGGCCATACTCTACAGACTGGGTCTACTTATAGGACTCAAAAATGAACTTGAGACAGAGTCTAAAAAACTCTCTGCTTTGCCACTATGCCTTCCTCAGATTCATTTCTTGAGTCAGTTAAGTAGGTAGACCAGTAAGTTCCTTGGATCCCAGAATTTGCATGCAAGTCATTAAATATCAATGGAAATTTTGAATAGATGAGGCAATTGAAAAATGAACAGATTTAAAATTAACTTATTTCTATCCAAAATGAACATACTATTCTGGTTTGACACCGTAGCCTTCTGCCCAATTTTCCAGAATTGTCAACTTTGACTACCTATACTGCAATAACAACAATGTGACATGCCTGGCAGGCTGGCTCATGGCTGCTTGTCAATGACTCAATGTCATTCTTTGTAAATAGGTACTTCGCAAGCCATGAGACCCAAGTTACACCCAACTGTGTAATTTATTAAACTTCACTTCAATAATTTCATCCGATGATCCGAGTATTTAGTTGCAGGCCGTGCAGAAATAAAAAATTGATTAAACTGTGAAGACCAATGAATATGAAGCGTTTACTGACAAAATTATTTTTGCGTTTTGTCCCCTCACAATTGCATATTTGAAACATGTCGTCTACGAGTTGTTAAAAAATGTCAATAATGCGTTAACTTACTCTGAATCAGTTCAGCGTTTTATGGTGCTAAATTAACAACACTAAGTGCATACGAAAATTTCTGTGCTGAACTGAAGCTCAGCTGCGCATCTTCAGTCATCTGTTACCACCGAGCTTCTTCACTTTTTCTTCGAAATAATGCATATACGAGGAGCGAGGAAAGAAACAATTTGAGTGCGCAAATGAGAAGTCGACGTAAATGCAGTTTGCATGAAATGAAAGAAATATTTATTTCATGTGTGATAGAGGCGTGTAGGAAAAATTTTGCCTACAAATGCACTTGCCATTGGATAACAAATAAATTTCAAATCCACAAATTCCTGGTAAAATTACGAGATGAACCACCACGAGAGAGATCAGCGATTTACTTAGTAATTTTGATTTATGACGGAAGAGTGAACCAAAATTGATATTCATTCATGTTCAATAAATAATTCCTTCACAGTTGCGAAAAAATTTAACTGGCAGGGTGGCCCAGAGGTTACAGTTAAGAGTACCAGTATTGGAGAAGAGTGGTGCGGATGCGATCCCAGCTCGTCTGTTTAAAGTCAGAATCGGCAAAGAGGCCAATTCAATTCGATAGGAGGCCGAAGCCATACAGAATTGGAGCAGTGAGTTGCGTGTTCGAGACCCGCATGCTGTGTTAGTTCTGCGATATTTAAAATCGGCGACAGGGATGCTGCGAGACAAACGCTGAAACTGATAGTATTATTATTGCCTTTTATCATCAACCTCGAAGTTTGAGCCCAGAGTTTTCTCAATAATTTGATGGCCATCGAAGACGCTTGCCTGACGGATCAGCTGACCAAATAATCAGCATTTGTCAGCCAAAGATAATTAAGCCTTTCACAATTATCATATTGAGAAGAACTACAGGTTATTCAAACTCTCATTGTTTTTTCCGCAATAGTCGGCAAAGTCCTTAGGGAAAAATAAGAAGACAAAAACATCAGCATGTGTTATCTTCAAAACATGATACAGTTTTCAACACAAATAACTTCACGGCTCCGTAACTACAGAGAACATAGGAAAACAGCGGAAAGACCTGGGAGTCACAAGTGCAAAAAACGTCACAAAGTGAAACAGCGCTGCCTACTATTACGAGGCAAGTTTTTCGTATCCATTCCTCTTTTGTTCGTAATCAACCTTCGCGCTATTAAAATGCTTATTAACTCCTTATCAACAAATAATATGAATGTTATCCAATGAAATAAACAAGAGTACAATGGCAGATAGAAAATCGTTTAGAACACTAGAAGAAAGCCTACGGAAGACTCGCTAACGCCCAGAAGTTATTGGTCTTCATGGGAGGCGTTCCTGGGGAGCAGGAAGACCTTGACATTGCAGTCCGCACTGCCTGAGAAGAGCACGCCAGGCCTGGACCAGTCGATAGCGAGCACCTTGTCCTCGTGACTCAGCATCTCGAACAACGGCGACCGACAACTGATGATCATCAAATTAAGTTTATACTAGACACACACCAATGAGGAGTGGAGGCGATGTCTCGTGTTGCGAGGTTAAGACTCAAGAGCAATACGTACAATGAATGGCATTGGTATTTGTTAATAATAAGAACATGATTAGTTTCATCATTATTCTTTTTTACAACACTTCTCTTTAACTTCACTTCTTGTTTGTCTGTCTGTCTGTCTGCTACAAATCTTATAATCAAAATTTAACACACTTCTACTTATCCGATCGATCTGAAATTTTGCACACTGGCGTAAAGTTGGAGACAATGCAAGAATCAAATGACAAAATAAATGTTTTAAAAATTAAAAAATATTTTTTTCAATATTAACAAAATTGAAAAAATAATTTTGTCAGCTACAAATCTTATAACTGATACCTATTTGACACACTTTTACCTGTCCAATTGATCTGAAATTTTGCACACTTGTGTGAAGTCGGAGGCAATGCATGAATCAATTGACAGAGTAAGTAATTTTGAAGAAAAAATTAATAATTAAAAAAATTGAAAAAAAATTTTTTTTCAATATTCGAAAATAAAATGAGAAATTCATTTTACATCTTTAACATTGGAGACACTGGATTCTTTAGAAGTGTTGTCTTTAAAAAAAATTTTTAAACGTATATTATTTCAATTGAATAAGTGACCTTGAACAAGACCAAAATGAACATATTGAAGCAGTTCAAAAAGCTGCCTTCTTTATAAAACATCTGCTGTGGCATTAAAAATATGGAAATTGTTAATACTTTGCATTGAACATAAATTATAATCAAATATAAATAAACATGACACTTGTTAATTAAACATCTCGAAAAACACATTTCACGATTGAAGTCAAGTTATCACCTAAATAGCGCATCCATGGTTCAACTAGTTTATATAGTTCAACTATGGAGCGCATCAACTTCAATACAATGGGCGCCTGTGGCGTAACATTATGAAGCCTTATTTCTATTTCCACCCCAAGTCCTAGTTTATAATTAGAAATTAGGTAGCCTTAAATGCTATAAGGAAATTATGAGTTTGAGAAAATATGTCAGACATTCTATCATCCAAATTGCAATCAAAATTGATAAAAAAAATCCTTAAAAAATTGAAAAATTATGTTACAAAAAAATTCCAAATTGTCATCTCCACACGCAAAAGGAAAAGCACGGCTGCTACAAGCACAACAGACCTGCGGATGTCCCAGAGCTTGACGACGTTGTCGAAGCCGCCGCTGGCGAAGTGGTACTCGTTGGTGGGGCTCCACTTGACGGAGTTGGCCCAGCGCTTGTGATGCTGGAATGTCTTCTCTAGAATCAAACCATCTGCAAACCAATATTGAAATTATATAATTACATCAGAAAACAACTTCCATGCACGAGACTATTCGCTCGAACCATGTTTGCTTGCAAGAAATACATCGGTAACATATAATAGTGCGAAACAATTGCATTTATTTTAGTTTCATTTTCATCAAATTCTAACATTGTCATTACCTATTTGATTAGGTAGAAAATATGATGAAGGAAGTGGTCGTTCGTTCCAGAGGATTGCCTTTAATTGAATACGTTTAAATGGTTCATGAAATCAACGTGCAGTGATAGTTTCTCAGGGAATCTATTGTAGCTCGTTTCTCTCGACAACATTAAACACAAGCAAATCTGCTTCTTAGCAATGAATTCACATCCTAGTGATAGATTTCCAAATTGGTGCAAGATCCCTAATAGGAAAAAGTCATTCTATACCAAACAATATTTCATAGTGGATGTCGTGAAGAGATATCTACTTGAGCACAGAGAAAATCACTTCAGAGATGGGATATCTACAACAGCTTATATGAAATTGAAGTCATAAAATCGGACCAAGATAAAGTTCTTTCAAGTCGTTAATCAAGTTAACAAACAATTAAGAAGTAAGGACACATTGAAAAATAAACATCAACTCGAGGCTCCCTTGAACATGAGAAAAACTCGCTATATTCCCAAAGCAATTTAGATTTTGCTTAGATTAAAATTCAATACAAATTAAGACCATTACAAGCTTTACTGTCATGATTTTTTCTTCACCAGCTACATCATCAATCAGCTAACTCACTAACAAATTCTTGATCATTCTAGATAAGCGGCTTTTCCGATGCACTGCAATCATTGTATGGTTTGATGTTAACAAAAGGTTTACTCTTTAATTCCATTAGTATGGGGTACTATTAAAACAATAGTTTTCATTGAAATATGATTGCAGCATAATTGATATGGAAAAGATTTAAATATTCTTGGCTGCATGAATATGAAGTGTGACTACACTCGAGCTTGTAGTATTAATCTAGCACCGCATGAACCTAACATGTTAGGTGCAGTTTACAACACCCAGGATACCAGACCTCCACTACGAGGATCAAGCAGCCTAATGCGTGCGTCCATGGCACTGAAGATGATCGTGTTGTTGAATGGGGACGAGTCGAGAGAGAGACAGGCGCAGGGGCCCACGTAATGTCCCGTTGCCTGCTGAGCCTCCACGTCCCACAAGCGCACGCTGTTGTCCCATGAGCACGAGGCAAGAGTGCGTAGTGTGGGCCACACCAGACCCGACACAGACTGAGTGTGGTTACTCAGGGTCGCCCGAGGGCCCTGCAAAATTACCATGGGTCTTAAACGTCAACGAATCACTTCACGTTCAAGTGAGGCACATGGAATGATACCAAGGTCAGGAGAATTGCGATTACTCCGACTGATGCAGTAGGATAATGAAAGCAATGAGAAAATTTCGAGGAGGTTCCTCATCAATGGGTAACTGTAAAGCCATCTAAACACCGCGCATGTGTCTTAAAATTACAAAGAATATTACAAATCAAAGATGAGATCACTTCAAAATTAATATCTTTTTTTTGGTCACGAATTAGCAGGCGTTAATTTTTTCATTAAAATTCATGTTTATAATAGTAACATTAGATCAGCATTTTTTATTATTCCTCAGTAATAAGTCACCTGGTGGATAAGGCTCAGAAAAGTATTGACAATTACTTTCGACACATCATGGCAGAAGTTCAATTAAATCTGAAATAGAAAATGAACTCACTGAAGAAAGTATGCGGTTTTTCCAGTTTAAAGCATACACCAGCGCCTCAACTTACTTTGTTCTTAGGAGGATCAACGGTTGAGCGGCTCTTCTTGCTCTCCGGCTCGTCATCCTTGGCTTCTATGATATCCTCGTCACCTGCAGACCAGACACAGAGACTAAGTTTTCCACTCTACGTTGAAAGCTATTGGTGGCTACCATTAAGCTCATGCACGTTCAGGAATCAATGTCGTATAAAAAACATCTCACTTCAACCAAAAATGTCCTCTTCATCAGATTGAAATTTGTTTTGATAGCCAATGAATGAAAATATGGAAAATTTGCTATACTAAAAAGCGCGTTTCTATGCATCTCATCTCATATCTTGCCATAGACAATGTACAAGTCAACAGGATCAACAGCCATAACACTGTGATGAAATAAAATAAGGCTAATTTATTAGAATAATATTCTCAATCGACAATCAGTAACTAGTAGACTTATTTACAAATAAAATATAAAAGTAGACTTATTTACAAATAAAACAATTGATGTGGTCACAGAGCCATGAACATTTTAGATTGGTGCCAGAAAGTTAGATAGGTACATATTAGTTAGAATATTCTAGACTGGTGCCAGATAGGTACATATTAGTTAGAATATTCTAGACTGGTGCCATAGCCTACCAGTCGTCCATATTTTGAGCGCTCCCTCCCAGGAGCCTGATGCAACGAGTTCTCCATCAGCAGCAACAGCAAGACTCTCGATGGACTGGGTGTGGCCACGACACTTGTACACACAGCGCACCCTGTTGCTTTTGGCGTCCCACTGCCATATCCGCACTGACTGGTCCATGCCACCACTGAAAAATATTAATTATAGTGACTGCATATGGAGTCATGGTGCCACATGCGCACTGACTGTTCCATACCACCACAGAAGTATAAAAAAATCATTGATTAATTCTCTGAAATCTACTAAAATATACCCTGGTGACTTAAAATAAATGCATTGGTTATAGGTTTACCGTATGTTAAATGGTAACGTTTTTCAATGGGGAAAATGGCATACCTGACGAAACAGTGATTCTTCTTAGGAATCCAAGAGATGGCTTTGACTGGAGCCTTGTGTGCATCAGTGATCTTGATGATATGAGCCTCTGTATCATCAGAGAGAACCTTGGTGGCTTTCTTTGTGCCGTCACCAACATTGGGGCGCCAGATGTGAATGGTGTTGTCATAACATCCTGTGATTAATCTAAGAAAAAATATCAGGAGAGATCAATTGTGTGTTTCATTGCAAAGTCTAAAGAAAATGGTTTCATTACTATTGAAAAAAGTATCAATTTAATATGTACTCTGTCTCTCACTTAAATGAATTTGAGATAACCGAAAAGAATTGATGCACAACTAAAAAGCAGTAGAACCAAATGGCAAAGTATAGAGGAGACAAAATAGTTACTATATATTATTGCATCTATATAGATTATTCATTCATCACTGATAATATCATCCTGTTATGCAATTGGCTTGTTTAGGAGAAATGGGCATAGGCATCTGATTATAAATGTCATTTATAAGAGGTTAGTTACCTAGTCGAAAATTGTTTCCTGAATGGCAATGTTAAATTATACAAGCACTTTTTTTTCTAATAGTTGGTGCTCAGGTGAACTTGAAATATCACGTTAATAATTCATTTGATTTGCATTTTCTTAAGAATTATAATGATTACAAAAGTTGTTGAGATCTAGATCACTGGCAGACAAGAAAGGTTGCTTCATTATTGCTCATTTGAAGTCAACAAGATGCTATAACTGAAATCATCTGCAGTGCATGTGAAAGTCTTGCTGCTCAGCTCAGTAACAAAACAAGGAGATCTTAACAATAGTCAATAAGATATAATAATCTTTGAACACAAATCAATGAGACCTGAAAGGTGTTGAGCACCAGAAAGGAAGAGAACTCTTTGAGGCAGTGAGGGCCTGCATGCCGAATCTGATTACATCACTTCTTGGTTTTCTTGAAATGCTTTTTCTATAAGTTAACTTGAATATTCATTTTAAAATTTATTGGTGCAATTGAATTGACTTGATTTTCTTCTCTAAATCAATTAATTCATAGCTTGAAATTAGCATTTTTGAATTTGTCAATGAATTTTTACATGATAAATAATGAAGTGTATCTAAATTAATCTTAATCATCACCAAAAATGAATTGACATTTAAATCAACCAGAAGTCCAGAATTGAAAAAAACCACCCACCACTTGTTTTTCTTGGAAGCTAAGAACCTATCCCTGGTATTTGTTTCAGACGTACTCCAAATGATTAATATTTTTTGCTAATAATACCTAAATTGCATAGCACAACATGCATGACTTACAGCTTATCTTGACTGAAGTGTAGTGCGGCAACCCAGTCATCATGATTGAGTGCATCCTTTGGGATGGGAGGAGGTAATTGCTCTAAGTACTCTATTACTAAACCACCTTCACGATTAGAAGCTTCAGACTCTTCTAAAAACTTGGACAGAGCACCATGTAACATGACTCCATCCACCAAGAAATCAAACACTGGAGGACTTTCTTTCAGATTACCTGGCATAAAAAAATGATAAAAATTAGCGCATCAAAAGGAAAGCATCAATTGCAAAAAGAATTCAGGAATGAAAAAACTGTTATTTTCACAAGGTAATAATAAATAAATGATATCTTGAGAATTCATACTTTAATAGTGAATAGCACAGAACCAGTTTAGGTTATGAATTATGGTATTTCATTTCCCTATTCAAATCAAAGACAAAAACTAGTGCAGTAGGTACACAAATTGAAATGAATAAAACTCAAATTCAATTAAAAAAAATGCCTAAAAAATTGCCCTGGTTTATTCTAGACACATCATTAAAAGTGGTGCTCACTTTGCTCCAGCATTGTGGACAGCATTCTGTTCAAGCCTGTAGGATCTGTGTCATCAGGTACTGAAATGGAAGACTTGGGCACAGCAAACCTGTAACATGTAAACATTTGATATATTTATTATTTAGCGTCAAAAATTTGAACTTTCACCTGTGATTTCACGATAAATTTTTCTAGTATATTTCAACCACCAAAAATAGAATATAGGTACATATATCCAGAAGATTCACAAATCCCTTCAGTAAATTTAAAATGCAACATTTTTTGGAATTTTAGTGATGACAAACGAGTTCTTAAACATGCAAAAATCTGAATGAGAACAGAAATATTAAACAAACATTGATTCTTATCACATAATTTTAAATTAAATGGAGAGCAGAATACTGACCTTTGCTGTTTTGTGTATAATGTAATCAAAACATTTTTATCTTCTTCCATTTTCTCTTCTGGCAAGGAAACAGTTAAGAACTTTTTCGGCTTCTGTTCATATTGCTGCAAGAACTTCTTCTTAGACATCTTTCTTCGTGATCGTCTTTTTTTAGAGGGCTCATTTTCTTGGTTATTCTTGCTATTGTTTTCCATGTCTGACATTATTATATATAACTACCAATTTAGATAATCTGCAAACAAAGATAAGTAGCTTAATAAATGTTCTAATAAAAAAGACTTCTTGTTATAGACACAGGCAAATAGTATATCTGTAGTTATCAAAACCTACTCAGTATAACAATTAATTGTACCTAATCTGGTTTCAAAAATCATCTGCTACTATTTGGCATTGTGTTTGCAGGAGGAATGTATACATGAATCAAAATAAATTGTAATACTGGTAAACACTAACATAAACACAAGATTTACTTTAAGCATATTTATCATCATAATTCAGTGTTACATTTTAGGTTTCCTTTGAAATTATTCTCCTGAATAGTTATGATAATTTGTCAAAATGATCACAATGATATTAGAGATTACCAAGCTTAACCCTTTCATGGCAAGCATAAAATTGTACAGAAATGTTAATTGCTGAAACCAAGACAAAAAAGTATGAAGAAGTATATATGAGGAGTTTGCTCACATGTACTTCATTTGGAAAACCTACCTAGAATATGATGACAACTATTACATTTTAGATCATTATGGTGCTTGCCAATTTTTTCAAAACAAAGTAAATGGCTCTATGTGCATTAGATTGGATATGGAACAATTTAAAGCACCTAGTAGTGTTGAACAATTCTAGAAAGTGTAAACATCCAAGCAAAGTTGAAGCCAATCTTGAAAGCCAAGCTTAAAAGCCAAGCTTGTTGAACGTTGTTGAAGCCAAGCTTAAAATGAACAAAATAAAATGCCTACAAAATTGCAGCAGCAGCACAAAACATTTTTAAGTGGAGAGACAATAGAACTGTAAAACCAGCATGAATGGAAAAGTGATAACAGTTATTTCCAATGTCAATGCTCATGTTTTGTACAAGTAATACTGAGCTGATACACCCATGTCTGAAAAATATATCAGTACTCACTGCAATGAGTGACAGAGAGCGCATTTTCTCATTGCCGAGAATCATGGATACTATGCAATGTGAAGTCACAGACAGACGGCTATGATGAGCACAATAGCGCCTTTTTTCCATAAATGAGAAAATGCGCTAAAAAGACAGTTTCATGGATTGCTGTCTCTCTTTCCTACTGGTATTGTGAAGAAAATTTTACTTATATTTCCTTGTACAGAAATACAAGCTGACTCACATAATCAAATGCTTGCTTGTCCAAGGAGCGAGAGGAAAGATAATAAAAAGAGGAGAATGCTAAGGAAATTTTGATCTAATGAAGACTGCCTATTGAAATAAGGCATGAAGAGAAGCAACTTACTGCAAGTAATGCATAAGTAAAATCATATTTTTGTTTTCATGCTCTCATGACAAATTTGAAAATGTCTAAAGTTAGCATTAATCATTAACTGATAAAATATTACTGCTATCAACATTTTCACCATTCATTATATTTTCAATTCATGTAAAAAACAGAATTGGAGGCTGTGACAGGAATGCCATTTTTGCTTTGCCATTGACATTATTAAATAATCAAATTTATGATTTGCTTCAATTTTTCATTGACACTACCTCATCTACTACTAATAAAATATGTAATGTGACACTAAATTATTAATTTGTATAGTAAAATTCATTTTGAAATGACATAATAATATGATTGATGCATTGTTGGCAATGTATTTACCACTATGTCCTGGAACAATATACCTCATATTACACATGAGTAACACTTAGTGGTCAATATGTCTAATAATCATATATGCTAACTTGCATGTAAAAGAGTCAAGTGGTGGTAGCATGTTGTTAGCCATTATGACTTTATCTTTACATTAGCAGTGATGTTAGATATTTTAGGTTTTACAACAATAAACATTATAAGCCAGATCAGAAAGTATGTCAAATAGCTTTTACTTTTGGTCAAATAGCTTTTACTTTTGTCTTAACTTGGTCTTGCCAATGGTTACATTTTAACTTAAATCCATACATCAAGATTTATTATTTTTCACTCATATTGAGCATTGGTAAAAATTTTTGAGAGAATCATAATTATTTATTTATTACTTGCAATTTTAAAAAATATGAACATTCAAGTCAGTGATTGAAAGTCATGGGGCTCCAAGAAACGATAGCATTTGGCTCACTTGATTTGTCACTTGAACCTTGCAAGAGATTAAGCCAAAGCTTGCTTTGGTTGACCTGCAGACATAATATGCAAAAAATTCTGCTATCTGGTGCTATAAAAGTTTGATTTGGGCCATCCTCAGGTCCAGTCACTCTAATTTTTAGCCATTTCAAATATAATTGGAGTCAGCTGAAAAACAAAGTCATTTCCTAGCAGTGTTCCACTAATACCAGAATGACACAACCATTATTATTTTATTCAGCAGTAACTTGAAGATTTATTAACTAACTTGAAAGATATCTTAGAGAGGATTGCTGAGAGGTACTGTATCAACACTGCATCCACAATACTAACCCACTTTCAATGATACAAGCCCTGAATATAAAATTTGAATACTATGTCCAAAATATTGGCTCTAAATCAAAGATAAAGGCTTGGAATCCAGGATACAGGCTTGGTAACCGAGATACAGGCTTAATGTCCAAGATACAG